GGGGCTTCAATTTATTTTATTTTTTTTAATGTATATACGCGCGTTAGGAGTATTGCTCATTACTTCGTATGCATTCGCGAAATCCCCGCTTAATTTGCGCACCCCCTTCCCGGATTCCCAGTATCGCGAAAAAAAGTGCACAACATATGCGAGCAAATATGGTACACTGTACCAGCTTCGACCAAATTTAGCGTAGTTTTCAGTGCGCCGCCATTTCGGTCACAACCACCGCTTCCCGGAGCTGAGCACCGCGAAACACTCAAGCTGTTCACAAAAGGTATCATGACTGGATTTTCCATGCGTCATGATAACTCTTCACGCGAGCTTCGTCTGCGGGGTTGGGTCATCGCGGAAAGAGTTCTGGACAGAGTTCTGGCCCGCCCTCCGCAGTTTGCGCTCTCTCTTTCTGCGGAGATAATCGTCCTTGCCTTTCGCGAACCTTGGTCAGTCGGAGATCCAACTACGTATACACTAGCGGCCCAGTTTCATGGTTTACACAGAAATGTAGGCACAACACTTCCTTGGCATCGCAGCTGCTCGCAATCTGGTCACTCACCGACAAACACGAGCACAAATACAATTTAGCAGCACATATCACAACTGCGAAGAGCACAATGTGCACACAGAACGTTGCAACATTCTTTTTTTCTCTCGCGCTGCTTACAAAAGCAAACTCGGCATGGGATGCCCGCTAGCTCGTGAAGACTCCGGTATACAAGTCCAGTGTCGAAGCACAGTAATGCTGCTGGGACTGAAACGACGATGCGAACGCGCCGCCGAATGCCGGCGTCGGTTGCGTTGCAACCAGCGTCGTTGCCCCGTTGACGCCAGTTGCAACGCAACCGACGTCAACATAATAATAATAATAATAATAATAATAATAATAATAATAATAATAATAATAATAATAATAGGTTCTTTATTTTTCATCAAGCATAGAATGAGCGAGGCAGGGAGAAGGAGAATAAAACATTTATTGGTAATAAGTCGCTATAGTGGTTGGATCTCCTAGTACAAAAAACCATTGGCTCTTGGCGCCATCCGGGCTCGGTCGACCAGGGCTTGTTGCTGCACTGAATCAGGGCTGCACAGGGTCGCCTCGCACTCGACTAATGTAGGATTATGATTGTCCGACATACTGGGATTATCTCGGCACAGAATTTACACTGCGTATTGTACATCGGAGGGTCTATCATGGACAATACATAAAGATTTGGAAATGCTGATGACTGTAGTCGTATCCACGCGACTTGCGACGCCTTATCTAATTTAGGGTCAGGTGGGGGTAGAGTGCGTCTACTCAGCCTGATGTGCTGCAGGATGTCAGCATACGAAAGGAGGGGCTGGGGATCATCCTGGTCAGCAAGAAAGTGCGCTGTGGGTGAAGCAACGAAGGCCCTGTGTAAGAGATCGTGGGCGGAGGCATGAGCGTGTTCATTGCCTCTAACTCCTGTGTGCCCTGGTACCCATAGCAGTTGTATCCATTGACGCTCTTGACGACGGGCCGCAGCCTGTTGCAAAATTGAATGTGCTAACCAGCCGACTTGACCTCTGGCGAAATCGCGATACGCCACCTGGGAATCCTTGAGGACAAAGGTGGCTTTTGGGTTACGCAAGGCTATACCTGCTTCTTCCATGGATGTGATGTCTACCCCTAGCTGAAATGTAGTCCACTACCTGTCTCCTGTTTACCACGGCTGCCGTGGCGTGGTTGTGCAGGGGTCCGGCAGCATCCACAAAGAAGGCGTCTTCAAAACCTGAATATTTGTCATATATTTTAGCTCTGGCAGCTCATCTGTTTTTGTGATGGGCGGTGTGCATATTGCGTGGCCAAGGTCCAATGTGGACTTCCTTTTGCCATTCTTGTGGCAGTGATAATTTACCAGCGACCTGCATTGGTGGATTTATGCCGAGAGCATCTAGCGTGGCGCGACCTGCCTTGGTACGTGCGAGCCGGATCACGTGGTTTGTGTGGTGAGCTTCGAAGAGCTCTGACGCTTTATTATATATGCCCATCGCAAGTAATCTGTCATTCATGGCCCACGGGGGTAGATTGAGGGCTTTCTGATATGAAGGTCGAAGTAGACGGTCTAATTTGTTTTGATGTTTTTTTCAGGATGCAGGTACGGAATGCTGTAAGTGACGCGACTGATCACAAAGGCTTGTACAAGACGCAATATGTCCGCTTCTTTCATGCTTCGGTGTCGATCGGCAATTCTAGATTTCATTCGTGAGATACTTGTACAGGTATGATCTAACTTTTCGATCGCTACCTTGTTGTTGCCCTGATTATTATTTTGCGCTCCAAGGACGCGGATGGTTTCCACTTCCTTGACTGAGGATGGATCAAGTTGGACATTCAAAGGAATGTAATTGCCACGTTGCCTGAATACCAGCAATTCTGATTTAGTGCGGGAGCAGTGAAGTCCGCATGTTCGACCGGTGCGCTCCACAGTATCCGCAGCCCGTTGAAGCGATTTTTCCATCTGTCCCATGCTGCCGATTTTCGTCTAAATGGTAACGTCGTCAGCGTATATTGCGTGCTTGATTCTGGGTATTTCGCTGAGTGCTCTAGGGAGATCCAGCAATGCGATATTGAATAACATTGGCGAGATTACGGCCCCTTGTGGTGTTCCGGATTATCCCATTGTGATGGGGGCCGATTTAGCGTCGCCTACTCGATATGGTCAGTTGATGGTTGTTGCGCACGTAATTGTAGGCGCGTTGACCACTTCCTATTTAAGCCAGGTTAGCCAGGATAGCCGAGTGCCGGACATTATCAAAGGTTTTTCCAAAGTCTATCGCCAGAATGGCTCACTTCTGTTGCGTGGCTCCACTGGGACGATTGATTAGTGCGTGCTTTAAGTAAAATAGAACATCATGTGCCAACAATTGTGCTCTAAAACCAAACATGGTACTTGGGAAAAGGTTTTTATCCTCCATGTATTCAGTGAGCCGAATGTTCAGTGTTTTCTTTATTACCTTGCTGGCACAGGAGGCTAAGGAAACGGGACGAAGGTTGTCTTATTTATCGGCTTTCCGGGATATAGAATAAAGGTAAGTTCGGCCGATTTCCATTCCTGAGGAAGTACACCATCGACCCAATTCTTATTAATCAGATTTGTAAATATATTGAACATGTCGTCACTTAAGTTGGCCATCAAAGCGGTCGTAATTTGGTCAGGGCCTGGAGCCGTTCCACGACGTATCATGTCAGTTGCCGCTCTAATCTCCGACGCCGTGAAATCTCGATTCTTTTCAGGATTTGCGATTCCGCTGTAATCGGGAACGTGGTCAACGCTCACGGAGGTATTCATGTATTGGTCCTCTAGATCTCGAAATAGTTAAGCAGTGTTTCCTGCATTAGCATGAATAGCCCGCTGAAGGTTTCTATAGGTGGCTCCACGTGGTTGTTCTGGGTCTATAAGATACCGGAGTAAATTCTAGGCTGATATAGTGTGTAATGTACTCGTGAGTGCGTCACACTTTGCGAACCAATTATCTTTTGCAAGTTTGGTGGCATTTCTCTGCTTGTGCTGTAACTTTCGCGATGCGAAGTTTGAGCTTGCGGTCGAGTTTCTGGCGCTTCCATGGTCTGGTCAGCCGACGTCTTGCATACCAGAGGTGCATCAGGTGCTGATCTACTGCTGGTGTTTCCCGGTCGGTTTTGATTTCTCTAGTGACTTCCTTCCTCAGCTGAGCGAGTGTTCGTGACCATTCGTCATATGGATTGGGCGGCTGGTGAAATTGAAAGTTTTCCGTTTTGCGGAAAGTGTGCCAATTTACCAGCTGGACTGATGTATCGCGTGCTTTATGGCGGCCTGTTGTTATAATGGTGTGAATGAGATAATGGTCACTACCCAGCGCTTCCTGAGAGTTCAGCCATTTTGGTTGCGGAACTTTGAGAGCCACCGTAAGGTCTGAACATGTGTCTCGTGATACGCTGTTGGCGATCCGCGTGGGATATCTGTGAGTAGCGTGAGCCCTTCTATGGCCATTAAGTTGCGCAACTTGCGCCCTTTCGAATCTTCGACGACGTAACCCTAAGGGGAGGCAGGGAAAAAAAAGCTGACGAGCAGTGTTTGACTTGCTCCGATTCCCCCCTACCACCCCCATGGTTTCGATATCTGACGCATGTTATTATAACCACAGTTGGAAATACAATAGATACGAATTGCTGCATAAGGTCACCTGAGAAGTCCGAGAGTCGCATCTTCTCTGCAATGAACACTTTTTTTGAACGCCTACCTCAGATCGGAAGCACGCGCAGCGGTTCTGCTTTGCAAAGCGATGCACCTCGTGAAGCTGCTGCCCGGATGAGTTTTGAAGCGCCCAGAGCTCCGATGATGCGTTCTCGTCCATTTGTGACAGCACAGTGAGGTTCACCGACCATTCGATGATGAAAAAAAAAAGCGTATTTTCTCTGTCCTGAAGCTCCGCCAACGACAGCAGCTCATCCTTTCCGCGGCCTCTTCTTAGGAGACGCTTCCGCGACGGTGCCCAACACAATATACGGGCGCGTCCAGTGTCGCCAGAGCACTAAGCATTATGCACATCCTGTATTCAAGTTAGCTTTCATAATGATATTATACTGCAACAAATACTGCGATTACAGATCATGAAATTAACGGACACACAGTTGAAATGTGTATACATATATAGTGTTCATTTTTCAATCGTTTCGGAAGGTGCGTGAAATATCATATTATGTGGGGCTTTGCGTAACCACGATATTATTATAAAGGACGCCGTATTATATGCTTCCGGAAATTTTGACTATCTGGTGTTCTTTAACGTGCGCTGACACTGCACAGTACGCAGGCCTCGGCCAATCTGCTTCCTTCAAAGTGTGACCTCCACGCCTTCAAAGTGTGACCTCCACGGCCGGCATCTAACCCCAAGACTTTCGGGTCAGCAGCCGGGCACCAAAACCACTGCACCACCGCAGACAGGCGCGTGAAATAAGGTGAGACGATTAGGATGAGACAACAAGACCAAAAAAACGAACAAAACCGTTTTTATTTAAAGCCACAACGGCAGTGTCAGCTGGGCCGTATTCGTGCGGGAAGACCATTCCCCGTCGAAAATGCTCAGCGCAAATAAATAGAAAGCGCGCACAACACGATTCATGAGATCTGCTGCCAAGGCCCGGCGTGCTTAAGAGGGCCCGGTGCACTTGTTCCGCCGGCGCTGGCAAAACTTCCCGAGAAGCAGTCTCATTCACTCGGTGTAATGATGAATAAATGCAACTCACTGGTACGTCCATAAACCCGCTTGGCTGTACACTCGGACAAACCGTGTACCATCGCTAATTGCGCTTGCTTCGATCGGCCAAGTGGGCCATCGTAATTTCTAGCCCTGTTTTGAAGCTTCAGGTTGAAATGGGCATGACCCGAAATGAGTATGAAAAGTATCGTGAGCGAATCACAAGACATGATGTGACAAATAAAGGCAAATAACAAACACAATTGAAAAAGACGCGTCCTAGAGAGGAGTACCAACGTTGAATCTTCTGTTCTTTACTGAGTATCAATACCTGTGCCACAGAACTTTGACAATTAATAATATCTAGCTTGAAGGATTGTGAGTTTTGATAGATAAAACGCTGACGATTTGAAGAACAATTTCCTCGGTATTATAGCATGGCTCCAAACTGTGCAAGTGAGATTTCCTCACACTGGCAAGAAGCTCTTGTGCCACAAATATCTCCAGGGAACGAGGAATCACTTCATTTTTTTTCCTTCGAAAATTCGGCAACATAAATAGCATAAATTAAAGTTGTAGTAAGTCAAATGTCTACTCGTACAGAGACTTAAATATGAAGTAACTGTTCCTTTGCAATGGATAAAAACTTGATGCCGCCTTCGGAGGTAATCGAAGGAATGTTAGCCAGAATCTATTGCTCAGATTGCTTGTACAGAACGCCGAAGCACGTCCCGTGATTTCCCGTCGAAGGCGGTAGAGCGTTCCTTGTTCCGTTCACACTTGGCACTGATAATAACGTACTCAAATGTAAAATCAATGCTACAAATTTAAGCCTGGCTTTATGTCATACTTAACAGACACTGACTTACTCTGACTTGCTTCAGCATGCAACTCCTAAGAGATAAATATTTCAGCATCAAAGCGCCAACGCCTTCCAGAAGTATACTTCTGTTCAAACACATTGTCTTGGTTTTCCAATCCTTTCAGTGCATGTAGAGAAGTGCTACAGCGGTTTGTCAATCCGTATTAATATGAAACTAGCATTCGCCCATTGTCTTAGGTCATCGAATTTCTTCATGGATTCACAGGCGCCTCGAAGCAACTCCAGGTACAGGATGATGACAGACTTGGCACGCAATGCCCCTGTTTCAGGTCAGCAGGCCAACTTCTTCAGCTGACGAAGGTAGCACGGCCAGCCCCGGACCAGACTTCCCGTCGTACCCCATGCATTAGTTGCGGCCCGAACACGACGTTGATTGTCGCCTCCACTTCACAGAGCTTCGTCACCCTGTGCCAAACGGTAGCCATTTTTCTCCGGCGGGTTCAGGGGTTCCTGGTCCTGCGGCCTTTTCCTCTTGAAGAAGCCCAACTGCATTGAGAATAAGCGAAACCTCGTGAGACGAGAGGTTATCACATACAGCATCGACGTAACCTATAAGACTGCATGCGGGAAACAGCTCTATGAGCGGGACCAAACGCAAGTACACAAATTCACTGCGTAGTGATTTGTGTTCTTTCGTCTCCATGGTCCCGCCTCACAGTGCTGTTTTCTGCATGTAATCTTGAATGACTTAGCACAAGGTTACCGTATTTACACGATTGCAGGTCGACCCACAGTCGAACTTTGTATTTCAGATCGAAATTTGAAATCCCAAGTTGATGGCTCGACTGACGATTGAAATCGAAAGAAATGAGAAATCACGCGCACTGTGGCAGGGTCGAGATATTATGTTTACGTTTCGACTCGACCCGTAATATATACCTTATTGTCTCGTGTACAACCGCCAGCCCTAAGCAAATATTCTCGGAAAATTTTCTCAAAATGATCCCCTCATATTGTTGCGAAGTTAACTTTTTGGCATATCTTTAAAACAATCACGTGAAGCCACCTTTAAACATCAAAATTTCAGGTTATTTTTTCAGCCACATCGTGAATAGGTTTCCTTTATTAAATACACTCGCTGTGTCCTTTCTTTTTTTATTTTGCCGTGCGGTTTCAGGCGGTCGACCTACATTTCCGTCAACTTAAAACCGTGTAAATAAGGTATACCCTTCCGTATACGTGGAAACACGTATACGGAAGGCTTTACCGTGTACGTTTCCGTATACGTGACAACACAGAAGTTGCGTGTATGCAACTCCTGTGTTACATGCACGCTTAAATAACGGCTCTATCACGGTATCATCATTCGAACGAGCCAGCAACCAGAAATGCGCACGCTGGTGTTTATATGTCACTCGTGCATGTGTTCATCATAACATAATCCGCAACATTGCGAAAACTACACAAGCATGCGGCGCTGACTATGCTAGATGGGTAATCACGTCATGACATCGGAGAATTGTCTCTCTGCAAAACCTGTAGTCTTACAGAGTGGAAAAAATTACAATTTTGCAGAGTAGTTATACACTGTCTCTAATATTGGTCGACATGTCTGATATCTCGTACTCGCGTAATTTGCCATTTTTCACGGACAACTATCCAGGCGAACGAGAAAATGCGAGAACGAATTCGAAATCTCCAGATTGTTTTGCAGATCGGGATCAACTTCCATTCGTTGAAAACGTGGCATGGACTGTTGTTCTTCGTTGATGAATGAAGACAAAAAATATCGAGTCTTTCACTAGCGGTCGCCCATGCAATTCGGTGCGATGATGGCGTGTTCAATCATCGCTTATGATGTGTTCCTACTATCCTACATTCGTCATTATGAATGCGCTTCAGCCGACGTAATCATCGCTTGTGGTGTGTTCCTACCTATCCTACATTCCTCATTATATGAATGCGCTTCAGCCGACGTAATCATCGCTTATGGTGTGTTCCTACCTATTCTACATTCGTCATTATATGAATGCGCTTCAGCCGACGTAATCATCGCTTATGGTGTGTTCCTTCTTATCCTACATTCGTCATTATGAATGCGCTTCAGCCGACGTATCAATAGGGTGAGTAGGATGCAAAAGTGACCTACGCACTTCAGTTAAATAAAAGTTAAATAGAAGAAATGTCTGTCGCAAGATGTCGCCTTAGACACAGCTGTTCACATTTTCGCAGGCTTTTTAAACCATTGCGCTGAAGCCCTCCTATGTTTCCTGCATATGTAGGCAGCGTGGCAAGAACTTTGTGCACCGATGCGATGATGCCTGTGTATACAGCCGGCCGCCTATATGTTGAACGGGGGTTTACAGAGTAATTGTTTTCCTGCGAAGTCAGTATCGAATAGAAAGTTTCAGTGTGCCTAAACAGTGATTCACTGAATGTCTTGCATGTAGAGCCGAAACGTGCAGTTTCCAAGAAAATCTTATATACCAGGATTGGACACGATACAGCGGTACATTGTAGTGTAAAAACAAACGCTCACTGCCTTCTTCTGTTTTCTCTAAAGCTTTAACACTGCCACTATAGCTTGTTTAGATGAAAAATTCCTGAGCACGGGAAGTCACTGGAGCACAACTTTCGACAAGTATTCTCGTCTTCTTCAAGGTTGTCACACTTGCAGCCTTGAAGACGACAAGTGTAGTACGTCGATACGCTATAGCCCATGCCATATACCGTGTTCAAGACTTTTCCAACTATACAAGCTTCCATATTTCCTGAAAACGTGCCTTGTTTGGATCTCCTCTGTTAATATATGCCCCAGCTTTCTCAGTGAGCCCGTTAGTCATTTGTTCTGGGCTTTAGTGTGTGATTAGAGGTGGCGCACCTTCCACAGGAGCAGCGCGAGCAGGCCTAGCAGCAGCAGGCCTCCGAGCACGGCCAACAGTATGATCCACCAGGCGGGATCCCGGCCTGGCGTGTCGATACCTTCCACCACCACCTCCGTGGAGACCTGCGAAATGCGATTGAGGGACTTACTTGAAGCCAACAATCGCGAAGGACGGAATAGGTCTTTCATGATCTAGTCAATGATTGCGGCGAAAATGCTATTCGCATTCCTATAGGCACTGAATTTGGGTTTTTGAAACATATTACCCTTATTTAATCCTGGACAATTTGGTTTCTCCCATTCTGTATAAATTAAACTATCTCCATTCTTTATACACGTCCATCCCAAACATTGTGTTCTTACGTGGGGTTCCGGAAACAAATGTCCCCGGAAAAAACGTCCCTGGAAAAAAATCTCCCCATTTGCGTTGTCGGAAAAACGTCCACGCACAGACACTGTCGAACGTTGCACCTTCCAGTCGCAAGTTCTTTATTTCTTAAAGAAAAAAAAAGACGTGCGCGAAGTTTGCAGTTTACTGAAAGATTACTGACGAAGCACCGCAAGGACAAAACTGTCCCAACTTATCTGTCTAAGTGTAATGTCAGGTGCAATATCACGTACAATGCGCATGTCAGGTACATGTTATCTAGCTATGCACGTGCCTCAAGAGACCTCAAAGGGGGTGGCAGTTCAGTGCACATGCATTACATCCGGAAGCAGCAGTTTCGTTGCACCAGCACTCCCAGGGTAAGTGTACGCTTTGTGGAGATCATTCGATACTTGCCCTACGGTTGACTTAATTGATTTATTTATATGTGGGGTTTAACGTCCCAAAACCACCATATGATTATGAGAGACGCCGTAGTGGAAGGCTCCGGAAATTTCGACCACCTGGGGTTCTTTAATGTGCACCCAAATTCGAGCGCACGGGCCTACAACATTTCCGCCTCCATTGGAAATGCATCCACCGCAGCCGGGGTTCGATCTCGTGTCCTGCGGGTCAGCAGCTGCGGTTGACTTAACGGCACTTGTTTGCAGAATGGAGGCAATGAAATCGAACAAAGGAGGCACAAAGCTGTGCCAGGGTGGTCATATATGTGCACAAGACAAAAAACTCGGTTTTAAACTTATTAGTTTTCGAACACACTTGGGCCGAAAATTCACGAAGTGTCAAATAAGGATTGCCAGTTTTTTGTCGAGTCTGTTCGCACTTGATTCGTTTCTCGGCTTTCACCTGAGGACTTTTCTTCCGGGGACGTTTATTCAAGAAACGTACTTGTACATTCCGGGATCGTGTAATCCGAGGACCTTTTTTCCTACACCCTTTTACGTGAGTTGACAAACGACAAAGAAATAATGCCCATAATGCTCCTAAGCACAACAGGATTGCAGAATGATTACGTCCCCGCTTGTCTCGATATGCCCGCATGCTAAGGCAATCGTCTAAAGGGAGGGAAAGAAAGAAAAGAGAGCGACGCAGGACGTACGAAGTGCTGCGTGAGGGGCACGTTGTCCGGCGGCAGGCCGTACTGGAGGGAGGCCACACGCGCCACCAGCTTCGAGGAGACGCGTAGCCGCTCCTGGCCCATGGCGGCCGCCGTGCGCTGCCACAGGCGGGACTCGGCGCTGACCACGGCGCGGTCGCCCGCCGACAGGACGCCGCCCAGGGGACAGCGGAACACGGCGCACCGCGGGAGCTCGCCGCAGCCCTGCGCGCCGGGAGACAGTGGCATAGGAGGGAATGTTAAAGACGATAGTCTTTCTTGGGGACCTTCGACACAAACATTTCGGTCTGTCTGTCTGTACATTTGTGTGTTTGTCCACTGTTACCGGCATCGGGTACTTGACACGGCCGACCCCATCGCCCACCAAAGTTGCACAAGGTTCAGCGTTCATACTTGTGCAATTGTCAATTAAGAAGCAATTATTGCGCATGCCTGGGGCACCATAACAACACGTGTATACCTTGCATGTGCATCTTTTACTGGAAAAGGCATACATAAGCAATTTTAAGGACCGTAGTGCTTATCACGCTGCGCTGACCATGCAACGCTTGCCAAAAAGGGCGATTGTTTCCAAAGCTCTGCTAAGACGAGACGGTGGTGGCACCTACCTGTTGCTTTGCGTTCTACACCTTATCACCTCTGAGACAGGCGCGCACACGCGTCTCGGAGGCGTGCGCATCGTTTTTCAAAAAAAAAAAAACTGCCAGATGGCGCTCATGTCTCACGTGTGACATGACTTGATGTGTTCGTTCGCCTCTGCTGCACGCTCGAGGCACTCTAACGCAGTGCCTTCAGAATACCATTAACCGATGTTCTTGTGCGAAACTTCAAATAGATGTTTTGTTCACTCTCTCCACTCGCAACACTATCGTCTTTCAACGACATTACAAGCCGTAATCTATTATATAATTATATAAGGCATTATATATGACGTAATCCAGCTGCTTCTTCACATATCACAAGCCACCTGCAAAGTATGTGACAAGCACAGTGACGAATAGAAGATTTTAGAGATTTATAATCAGCATTTGTTTGAATTAGGTAACCTACCATACAGTTGAGATCTCGCTATCGAACGCGAAGAGCGAGTCGCTGATATTGGCAGGGAAAAGTGAAGTTAAGGTCCCGTTGTTGCTATGCCGAACGTGTACCTCTACACATGTACATGTGCGATAGCTGCTGGCATTCGCTTTCAACGGCAGAGTCACGCGAGCGCTGCGATATCCAAGTCTTTCCGCTCGCGTGTCTTCTTTCCGTTCCCGCATGCATGTCACCGCGCTGTCGTCGACACTCGACGCCGCAAATAAGCAACGCGGGCTCAGCTCCTGATTGGTTCTTTGTTCTAACGGATCGTATTTATCTCGTTACGACACGTTTCACTCAAAATATGAAAGAAGGCAGTTCTAGTACTGCAGCAAAAGAGTCCACGTTGCTTTGAATGAAGGCGAAGTGTCGCGTCCATGTCTGTCATACGTATGGGCCTGTGCTAGTGTTTACTGGTATATGACATTTGGCTATGGACCAGAGCATGTGTCAACCGATGGTTATAATACCTTTGGTTTTACGTGCCAAACCACGATATGATTATAAGGCACGCCGTAGTGGCCCTAGTAAAGTAGTACAGGGGTCTCGAAACTCGGACCATCTGGTGTCGTTTAATGTGCACTGACATCATGCAGTATACACAGACCCCTGTAGCATTTTGCCTGCATCGAAATGCGACTGTCTCTGCTGATGTCGAACCCGCGACCTTCGGTACAGCCCGGTAATCACTGTACCGCCGAGGCGAATGAGTCAGTCAGTAGTGCCAACTCGTTGAAAAAAATTATTTTTCAGAACTAGTTTTGTTCCGAGCACCATTCTTCATCTTATTTTCGGCCTTCTGCCTTCCTTTGTACATGGCTACGGATATTTTACATAACCTTACCTCACTAGCTACACTTCAGTTACAGCTGTCTCACCTCACTTTACATGGGTAGTCCTCATATAGACTGCAGTGCAAGTGAGGCGCTGCTCGACGAGGAATGTAACTCGAAGGCAAAGCAAGCGTCATGCCTTTTTTTCGGACCTACTCGGAGCGCGGCAGCCCTGCAGAAATGTCAGATGAACCTTGTTCTTTTCGTTCATTATCAGCCTTTTTTTGTCATTTCTTACTTTTTCTTTTCACTCTCGCTACGTAACTTCTGATACTGCTGATTATTCATTAATCAATAAGTTATTTATTGTTTTTTTTTTTGCTTACCAATTCAGATTCAAGTTCGTACTCCCTGATGTCACGGTGGACACGCACTCTGGGCGCCGATATGTCCCGGGGCCTTCTGGATGATCCCTGGAAGTATAAAACAGCGCGACTGTGAGTTATTTCAATTGCACCATTTCAATGATGGCTATGTTTGCTTAGGCCTGTTTTATATTAAAATTTAAAGTAAATGATGCAATTGACGCCATTTCTTGAAGATCTCTACTACTTTCCCTTGGTTGCGAAGATAAAAATTACAAAAAAGGTAAGTGAAAAAAAAACAAGAAACCAGGAAAGAATGTATACAACTATACAGTCGTGCGTTTGGCGAGTTCACAAGCTCTCATTTTAACGAAGCATGCATTTAAGCGAGTCGCACACTTTCGATGTAGTTTCCTCAGGTCTCAATCGCCACAAGTATTAGTGTCTTCGAAAAAAAAAAGAAAAAAAAGGTACAAGTACTTTCATTGCTTTCTAATTTATTCGTGATGGCTATGAGCCCAGTATTTTCACTGATGAGAGCATTCGCTCGTAGTACACATAGAAGAGTTCCTGTTGAGTGACTGCTTAGGTAGGATGAGTTTGTACGATAGTGAACTAGAATATTCAGTCTACTATAGTTTGGATGGTTGAGCAGCACATGACGCACATCCCTATCGTCATAGCCACGCGATGCGTACTTGACAATGATCTCGTGCAGCAGTTGCTTTCTTTGAAAAAAAAAAAAACAGAAAAACTCACATGTAATGATGCGAGCTCGCTGCGCGGGGCTTTATCGCTCATTTCTGATTTGAAACAATTGATTAATAAAAATAGAAAAAAGAAGAAAGCTAGCTAGTTTGGCGTGAGTGAGCAGACCAGGAGACGTCAGAACGCGTCATTTGCTTTATTATTTTTTTTCTTTTTGTACATGAGGGTTAATGCACTCCTGAAACACTGTTTTCTATTTTCTAATAAAATCGTGAGAAAATTTTTGAGCTACAAAGTATATCAGAATATATATATATATATATTGTAACAGCGAGCTGTGATAAGATGGTTTTATTTACAGGAGGTGAACGATGGTCGTTTGCGGCAGCACACTGTGATCGTGCCAAGACTCCTCGTCTTCCTCTGCTTCTCTTCTCTACCCTTTTCTAGTGTGTATATATATATATATATATATATATATATATATATATATATATATATATATATATATATATATATATATATATATATATATATATATATATATATATATATATATATATATATATATATATATATATATATATAATTCAGAACTTATATTGAATTACCCCTGCACTACGTACAATTTTCAGTGGTCAGTGGTCACGTAACTACGATAATTAGGCTAATAAGCATATTTAGCTAATAAATTAAAACACACATATCTTATCTTCTGACGTCCATCAGATGAAAATTGCGTTCTTAAAGTGCTCTTCGTCGAGGAAGTGGCGGCAGTATTCGCAGCTTACACTATTGACGCGAGGCTGGAATCAACAGCGGAGCTACTGTTCGACCTAGCTTTTTAAAAGTTTTTGCCAATCATACTAACCTTTCGCTATGAATGCAATGTTTTTCTAGGAGTGCTAAATATGCTTATGCGTGGATATTCTCCGATTTTCGTGGGTTCCTCAGACTATGCATGTATTACGCACAGGGATGGATCCAGTCACTCAGTTTAGGGGAAGCGGTCGCTTGAACTAACACTCGAGAGGGGGGGAGGGGTCATTATATTTTTGTTTTTACTAGCACAAAAACCTCTATGATAGGGTAAATACTGCTAATTTATGCTCACAGTGGCCCCACTCATTCGTCATAATCAGTTATAGGAAGTAGACAGCAAGGACTGGAGAGGGAGAGGGGTGATGGCACAGGCTTTGGGGGGGGGGGGGGGGGGGAATCACCCTACCGCCCCCCTCTGGATCATCCACTGGTTACGCGGTTCTGGCGGAAACATTTCATTTTACTTGGTGTTGCAGGATGCTAATATTTTAGTCCCGCGACCAGCCGCTATATACATGGTTTGTGGCGATAACAAGTCATGTGGGTAGTTTTTATGCTGCTTTACGTGATTTTAGTCATGTGATTAGTTGGTATACGTGACTTTATGTCATTTTTTAGCCACGTAACAGACTCGCCGATCACAGTCCTCGCATTCCGCCCCAGAAGAGAAAGAGGAGGACGGAGCGAGCAGGTGCCGGTTAAGGAGGATTATTTGTGTTCGCACTACGCGGCGCAACGCAAAGTTTAAGCAGCTCCGCTCCTGAAAGGAAATTTACTCTTGTCCTGACATGCCAAGCATATGACTTTCCTTAAAGTTACATGTTAACGTTTTGGGGAGTTTCACTATTATCCCACGAGAGTACGATGATCTCCTAATGGAGATTTCGTGACTTCTTAAAGAGTCATATTGACATGGTTAGCCAGGACTCCAAAAAAAAAAAAAAAGAGTCGTATAGGATTATAGGATATCTTACTCAGAGAGCAGAATCGATCGTAACCCTCAAGAGGTACATCGAGGTTTCAAGCAGTCAGTTTTAAAGCGTTAACTCTTCTTTCAGTCAAGCCAAGTCAGCTCTGCTGGTTGGGTGTTTCCAGTGCGCGTGATGAGAGCAGCCACTGGCATCCATTATCGCGCGCAAGCGCCACCCGTACAACATATACTCATACAAAAACATCATCACAAATCAATTGAATGCATATAAGATACACTGCGCGTACACCGAGAAAAAAGACGAAAAGTGCATACCGCTAGGCGCTTAGGGTCGACGGCTTCATTTGGTCCAGCGGGCGAGACGACGTCACACGATCTCCGTTTCGCCGTGCTTCCGGGACCCTGGACCGTGGGGGGCTCGAGCAGGTACAGCAGCGGCTGGTCGTGCACGTTGTGCGTGGGCCACACCAGGTACACGTCAGCCTCTTGGACCACGCTGGGGCCACGGTTGATGAGCTGCAGGGACGCATTTGTGCAATCACCGGATTGCTTGAAACCATTCGCGTTGCGCTTCCAGCTCATCCACCACCGCTTTGGCAGCCAGCAGAGCAACACTTGCATCGTAAGCCTTAATGAAATTATTACGCAAGTCATTTGATCACTGTGACATTTAAAGGGCGGACAGCGTGAAGTACAGACGCCTAGGGTTGCAACACGCTGTCTGTATATTCCAATAGTGCCAAAACTGCATAGTACACCTATACATAAAAACAATTGGTTAATTGAACTATTACAATTAGTCACACTTTTGAAACCAATTTTACATTTGTTGGTGTGATTATTCAGGCTTGCAGTCACTTTAACCAGAGCCAGCATGTTGCAAGGCTCGTATAGAGCGCGGCTGTACGTATCGGGAGGTCATCACTTTTCTGTGCACATTAAGAGCCCCTAAACAATCTCTTACAATAAGAACGAGCGCGTTATTCTCTTCTGACGTTTCCCATATTCTAGGTATACACTTTATGGCGTCAGTAGAGTGAATCAGATGACGTCATTAGGGTACAAGCTCTTGATTGGTTCATTTACGAAAAATATCGATAGTGAATTTTCTTACCATCCTTTGCCATGCAGTGGCACGCCTATTCTGCTTTGTTTCGCATGAATGTCATGCGTGATAAACTAATTTTATTTCATTTTGTGCGTTTTTGACTGCGCAAGTGGACATAAGAGCGTGTAGCCGAAAAGCGCGATATCCTGACAGGCTCAACCCTCAATGCTGACATTGTCTTCTTCGTGTTTTATGAAAAGAACCCAGAAAAACTTTTCCAAATGGGATGGGCAGAATTGGAGTGTCTTCACTAATATGTTATTGCTTGATGAATTGACCACCGCATTAATTTTCAGAATGCCAGTACGAGCGGAGTTACAATATTCGTCGCACGCTGCGACTGCTTTCTCTTCTCTCGTCCCAATGAAAGCGCTAACAACCACGGTGTGGAAACGATAAGCAGGGAGGGATGGAACTGGGGAACAATTTACGTCACACGCGCCTTATTGTGATCTTGAGCACATTCCACTTTTTTTTTTTCTTCGAGCGCGCGACTTCTCAATGTACAGCCACACGCGCGCGCGGACACGTCGCGACCTCCCACGGCGGCCTCAGTAACTTCCGCGTGTGCTTTGTTCAAATCAGCTAGGGGGCGCAATACTTGAACCTCTCACGCTATAATTTTTTAGTATGTGAAATGATTTGTCGAGAGAAGGGAAATTTTAGCAGACTTTTGCAATTTATTGCAAATTCCAGGCCGTGTGCTGCGTACAGTATTTAGCTCACGTGTTTTCGGGAGCATTGACTACCGATTGGCCACGTTTTCTGGCCATGCTCAAAAAGTGTTGCAGTGCCCCTTGAAGATATAAGTTGCGAGAAGAACATGGCGCATGTAGGAAAGGTAACCAAGGCGATAAAGAAACTGCTCTCTTGTCTCTGAACTCGGAGGGGTTTGGGGGACGTTCTAAGGATATGTCCAGTCGTATCGATGTATTGCGTCATTGCGCTTCATACGTCATATTCCGTATTCCACTGATTTCGTAGTTATTTAAAGCAGCCCATGAATGATAAAAATACCACAGTGTCCGGGCGTGGACGTCCTACAAATGTTTGATTTCGCCAGCGCGAAATATGGAGCGAGAAGTGACATGAAATACACGTGATAAACTAGAGGCAATTAATGATCAAAAGCCACAGGCTTTTCGTGAGATGTTAATCTCGCAGATATATCCCGCACAGCTCTACCATCTCGAAGTTCACCGGTCTCTTCTCATTCTGCATGAGTTATGGTTAAGATATTTTCAGGTGGACTCCTGCTGATCATTAAAATGTCTTTCCTGATCGAGCAAAGCTAAACGCAAGCAGGGTGGAAGGTTGCACCTACCTCGTACACGTGCTTAACCGGTGGTCCGATGTCGTCCGAGGTCTGCACTTCCTTATCCTCTATGAGAGACACGTTGAGGTACACTTCGGGAGGGAACGAAGTCCTGCGCAGAAACAATCCCGAGAAGACGTTGGGCAAATAGCGAAATAACTTTGACTCAAAAGAGAGACAGCATCGATGTTTCGCGGAAGTCTTTGGTCACTCCAGTTTCGCCAGTTTTGTAAAATATAGTGCTGACGTTCCTTTCAGTAAGTTTGAAAAAAAAAAAACACGGAAGAGAAAAAGTGAAGCTTTTTCCAGATCATCATCTAGGTGATTCCTACACTACGCTTTATACTTCAGGTGCTGTGGAAGCTCTGCAAGAAGTTAGGCCAGCAAAACACATAAACGCACGCGCGTTTCGTGCTTTAATTTTGTCTATCCGCGCCAAACGTCATTTTGGCGAGTGTATTAAAAAAAATCGTGCTGGTTTATTGCATTGAGAACAGTGAATTCCTATATTCCGGACAGGAAATTTCTTTGGCCTTGTGGGTGCCTTCTGAACTTCCCAGAATGTCGTCTGGGTGTTGTTTGTGAAAAAATATTATAAAAGTACCGCTCCTAATATCTATAGCAAATATGATGTACATGTCAAATAAAAGAGCTTGCGTAAGGTGTTTCGAAGAGAAATCAGCTGGTGCATTTCGATATTCATCTTTGCTGCCCGTGTTACACCCCTTTTCGGGCCTAAAAGAAATGGAGGTAGGTACGATTCTGCAAAAGGGTATTATTTTTCTTTATAAAAAGAAGCTTAGTGTGACTATGATCGTTTTCGCGCAGTTTTGTTCGAGCGGCATCAAATCCACGAATGTATCTTTTAGGTAGGAACAGCACTGAATATTGCCGAGTTTGGAGAGACAGCTAGGCGTCCTTCTTGCTTTTCTAATCAGTGGGCGTACGAGTACACAAGTACTTAAAAAATGAGTAGATCGGGCTAGTTGGTGCGGATTCATCTTCTCAGGAAGCGTAAAACTAAGCGTTTTGGTGTCTCGCGTTTGTTGTCGGTGTTTCAAGCATTGTGGTTCCTTCAAAGATGTACCCAAGTACAACGTGCGTAACAGTACGAATTTAGTTTCCTACATGATTACGTTCGCACGGTGGGCATTGTGCACACGTGAAGTGTTTACGTATAACACCTCCGGAATTTAGACACACACATCTGGCAATACTTCGCTGCGGAAGCCACATGGAGTGTTTTTTTTTTTTTTTGGCGCTGAAAACACGTACAACCTGGCAAACAAAAATAAAGCATTTTAAACTGCATAAAACACAATGTAGTGTGTAAAAAGCTTGCGAATAGCTGCACCTAGCACATAAAACTGACGACGACCTTTGATAGCTGTTTGAAACGTTAATATGAACGCGTGAGAATAAGCGCTTCGCTGTTGAGCATTTGAGCATTGCAACAAAGTAAGCTTTAGGTAGCTGCATGTATTGTTTTTTTTTTCTCTTTCCTTTTTTGCCATCCAACCCTTTTCTTTTTTTTTTTAACCATCGGCATAAGTGATCGCATGCTAAAAGTGCCTCTCGGTGATCGTCAATTCTTCTCTTGTATAAGCCGTACCCTACACCTCGGATTCACAGTTTCAATTGGTATTCCTCGGACTGTACCACTTAGATTACCTGTATTTCCTGTCACATCATAAGTCCCAACTCCCGAATACACTTCATGTACTAGTAATAACCACGATATTAAGGGTCCCCGTATTGTGTGCTCTGATCGTCAGCTGTCACTATTCCTTGTTCCCTGAAACACAATGCCTCCAAGTGCGTGTGTTCTCACCCTCTAGCAGTCATGTTGACTTTCACGGTCACTGGAAGCTGAACAACGAGGACGTTGTCTTTGGAAGCCGCCTGTACTTCAGGGTTGGTGCTGCGAACAAAAGAAAAACGAGCAAGTTCCTAACGGGTAAATGAGCCTGGAGGATAAGCCAAAAAGTACATTTTATCCAATGCCAGCCCGACGCAGCCCGACGTTATGCGCATTTATTGTTACAATTGATTTTTGCCAAAAATCATCCGAAGTGGTCTTCTTTGCAGCATAGAACAGACTGAGTTTGTCTATGACCTGATTTATTAATATTGTCAATAGATTTACTCGCTCCGTTTTACCTTTATCTCATTTTCTTTTTATAAACTTCCCTGCAGAAAATTGAACCCTGGTCAATTAACGCGCCAGTGGTCACATACAGATAGAAATGCGTGCCTTTCAATAATAAGCATCTCTTTCTTACGGACACACACTGTCACAAGCGCGCGCAGACAGAACAGGCGTGCTCATCTACATTCCTCACAGAACACACAAGCACAACAGTCAGCATTAGTCTTCAGTTGGCCGTATGTAGTAGGTATCCACACAAACTAAGTTTTTGCTGCAGCTAGCGCATCTCCTAATGCTAAAGTATTCAAAGAAATCTATTGTTGATTTTCATACTAGCGTAGTGATGTGTACCTGTTCACTCTCACGGTGATGTTCAGTTCAGACGCGGTGGGCACGAGCCTGGCGGGGGCGAGGATCACCTTGAAGCGCGCCTTCTTGCCCGCGGCAAGAGGGTTCTGCACGTCACACGCCAGCTGGCTCTCACCCGATGCCAGTTTCTGTGCACCGCCACAAGTCGCCGGGTCCTTGGAAGGAAAAATGTAAACGTAGTGTTCTTTAAGACCACAAGCAAGATTTATGCCTGAACTTGTAATCACGAATGGCATAGGAATCCTACTGGGGGATACCACCCAAGTTATGAGCCATGCAGACCGTTACATTAAAATAGAGTTTCTTCTTCGAGGCATCAAGCACAACACTTACAATAAAAGGTTGACTACGTCATAGAAAATTAAGTACAATAATACACATTTCAAAGAGCAGCAGTTGCGCACGTTTTTATCGTTTCGAACATTAATGGTGACGCCATTGTGCATCACCGCGGGTCGTAATCCAGATCCACAACTTTCTCGAATGCTTTTGATATTGCACGTCTCAACGTGTGGCGCAGCAATTGAATGAATTGACGAGCATTCTATATTCGCTAGCATATGAAGGCGTCGTTGAACGCTAATAAACGCAACCTGGTGCTTTCTTCGCTCCTTCTCTCCTAATCTCGGTGAAGTTAAAAGCTGTGTATACGGCTCCTCTTCTCTTGTCGGTCCACAATTTAGGAACGAGAGCTTGAACGTCGTGCTTCCGAGTTGCTTATCATAGTGCCTGTGCGAGTGTTGAATGGGCAGCTCGCTTGGGCCGACATGCTTCCCTGTTGAAAGATGCTTTCCAAGGTGAAGCCTGCTTTACAAAATTTTTTCTGCGAGCATTTTTGTTTATAAATGCGTGAGACCACAGTCATGATTTCTATGCATACATAAAGGAACGTCAGACAGAATGAAGATGTAAATTTTGCGAAAACGCCTCTCTTTTTGCTGCTTGCTATTTTTGCCCCACACTCGAGCAAAGTACCCTAGTTCTGCTGCGTGTAAGAAAACAGCAGCGCTATGTAAACGAGGGTGAGAGAATAGACAGAACTTGCGCTCACTTACTTCTATGTAAACCAGACGATGTGAACGTACACGATGCTAAATAGACTAAATATCTCAGGGCCGCCAACGTCTTGTACGGATGGAGACACTTATGAACGGCATTATGAGGCAACATCGTTTCGCCATTATGGCACGCGAGTATTGTTGAGATTAGCGCACTTGTCGCCTCTATTCTACCATGAGCACCTTCGTGAGCCGGTGTGTGTGGACCCATGAAGTACTTATGAATACGAACAAAGCTATCATTTAAAGCTGGACTAATTTCCTAATCCCGTATAAGATCAAAGCCCCGGACTGACAAGCCACCGTGGCAACGAGTCAACATATGCCAACAGTCGTAATCTGCTGAAAGCCTCAATAACAAAAATAAGTGTTGGGCTTCTACGTCCCAAAACCACGATATAATATTAAGGTATGCGGTAGTGAAGGACTCCGGAAATTTTACCACATTGTCTTGTTTAACGTGTCCTGACGTCATACAGTACGTGGACCTCTTGCATTTTGCCTCCATCAAAATGTGACGTCCGCAGGGGCGGGAACCGAACCCTTGACCTTAGAGTCAGCAGCAGAGCGCAGTAGCCACTAAAACACCACAGTGGACTTGCTTGCATCTTCCTCCGCTTTGTCGCATGGCTTGTTCTACATATAATGCGTCAATGCACCTTCCGCTAACCAGCGTATCGTTCGCTTAGTAACCGAGTGTGTAAAGTATCCTCTTCTCCGCTTTGGTGTAATGTTGTGCCCATAGAGTTTCTCACAAATACCTAGAGGGAAGTGTGGCGTCACCGTCTATGCCAATTTTTTAAGGGGCAATGTTGGAGCACTGGGAATGGCGGTATATGTGTCTGCGATGCTTGTGTTGGCTGGTGTTAAGCGAGGCTTCGGCTCAAAAGCGAATACGACTGCGTAAATAAGGCTTCTCTAAAACAAACCGTTTATAAGCGGATTTTATTCATGCCTATTATATTCTAAAATAAAAGTCCACTCACGTTGACGGCACAACCAAACGGCGAAGGAAAGAAACAGACGACATAAACGTCGTGGAAAGAACGCTCGCTTTGTCGTCTGCTTGCCAAATTTAGCGGCCGTTAATTACTTCTTACGCTTCGCAAAATTGTACATCAACGTAGAAGGTTCTAGTGTTAAATGCAACACGTTTCTGTGGAACGAAAAAAAAAAGCAATAGCTTATCACGTGCTCTTTTAGTAATAAATCAATCATGAAGTCAGACGCATCTTCGAGGTACACAAATTCGGTCAAGTTTGAAGCTCACGTATCCCGTCATTCTCTTGCATCCAGCAGCTCACAAGCGCCAGATTTTTCTCTGGGTATGATTGTGAGAAACTCTATGGTTGGGAACAGCACCCTAGATTTCCCTTGCCTGCCGGATTATCGGTGGTCACTTGGGAAGCGACCGTCGTCAGAACTATGGTGGTGGCACCACTTAAGTAGGGGTTTCATCAAATTAGTTTTTACACTTTTGGAGCTTATATGCAACAAAAATAACGTAGAAAAGTTTTAAAAAAGGCGTAAACGTAAATATAATTTACCCTACGTAAGTGACGCCGCCATAGATGACAGGCGTTTTGCGCTCATCCGGCAGGCAAAGGAAATCTAGGAAATCTAAGAGGCTGTGGGTTGTGCTACACAGGTCGGAGAGATCCCTACAGCAGTGTGAAGAAACCGTGGTATTGTATAGTGAACTATACTCACCAATTTCCCTTTCTCGACCTTGACGTAGTTGAGGTCCGGAGGAATTGTGAGGAACATCATTGTCTCGAACGCATCTTCACCGCGGTTGTCAATGGCCATCGAGAGTTCCACGTTGCCCGTGCTGCCGATCAGGAACTCTTCCATGTTTCTACATCCGTCGAAACAATGTTGAGAACACAATGCAGATTCTGGAGCACTTAGCTTCAGTTTCACCTTTAAAATTTTTTAGCTGTTTTTTTTAATTCGGGGCACATTTGGGAGGTCTATATATGTCTGTAAATTTGGATGGCTATATACCTGTCTGTAAATTCTAATGTTGTTGTTCGGGGAAGATTATTCTAGAGCTTCATTAGTTAATTATTCTATGACGTTCATCAAGCGTAAGTAATAGGCTGTAAGTTTTGGCTCTTCTGTTGAAGTTCACTGATTATCAAGCTTATCAAACTTACGGTGTAACCCTGAGTTTCAAGTCTGGAACACACACACCGTCACCACCACAGTTCTTCCGAATTTGCACCTGCAAGAACACACATAAGGGTGAGCAGAGCGAAGTTCCCGCAATTGCCTTGATTTTGGTTATTTTTGTTTAGAAAAAAACTGCAGGCCAATATTTTGGCCCAAGCAAGAAGGTGCATTACAGCAAAAGAGAAAACAAACAAACAAAAGAACCAGGAAGTACAAACATGCGTAAACAGTGACACATGAAATGAACATAAAAAGCTGCATTCAGACTTCGACATCGCCAAAATTCGCAACGAAAAATTGTCTATCACGGCAGCCATGAAATCACTGGGCTGAAATGCATCAATGGGAAAGGCATTCCACTCGTGCCCCTGTAATTATCATCACTGAATCCGGGCTCGCATATATTATCACGTTCACAAGTCTCTGTCGGCATACAAGTAAACTAGTAGAAAAGAAAAAAGAAGCAAAATTGTGGGGAACCCTCACCTCCCAATCGCCATCAGCTACGGGGGTCAAACTTTCACAGCTCCCACCTCACCCGACTCGGCTCAGAGGTGGTAAACCAGGCACAGCTGTGCTGGATTTCGGCCCTAGCCTGACGGGACAGGCCAATTGGGGCACTATCCCACAATTCCGCCAGTGATCCTATGTCAGGATTCACGGATGTCCCACCACCAAATCCCAGAGCCATAGCCACTCAAACACAGATGTGCAAAAGACTGCGTTACCGCTAAAGCAGGACGCTCACTAAAGCTCACTAGCCTCAGTTGGTGCCCGAGGGCAGGGTCGGACAGCATTTCCTCCCCCCTCAATTTGCTGTTATCATCTTCCTGCTCCTCGGTGTGAGCCTTGCATTCCCACGTGATTTGGTAGGACGTCGGTGTGCTTCCACGCCATGGGCATATGTCTTCGTAGGCTATGGGGTAGTACCGTATGCAATGTGTGAACGTTTATATATGTATTCGTTTAAAGCCAACGTAACGCCACAGAATCCACAACCAAAAGGGTTTTGTGTGGTTCTGGGTAGAGTCTCCGTGATTCCCTATAATATTGTAGAATCACTTTGTAACTGGGATCGATGGATTTCGGGTCCTCCACAGTGTTGCTATCGGCAGCTCGGAAACTAGTAAAACCTCGAGCCGATCTGCGTAGAGGTTATCAGTAACACCCTCGTGTCCCTAGGTCCAAGTTATTGCCTGGGTATATCTGATGTCTAGTTCTCTGCTACTTTAGGTAAGTATCAGGTGTGCCTTGGAGTCTATTTTTTTCCCTTTTGACAATTCCTACATGCGGCCTGAGAATCTGTAATAATTGTCAGTGGAGCGTTGCGCTCCATGCCTTCCCTTATACTTAAGACAATGGTAATCTCTTCAACTATGACGGTTGATTTACAAACGAATCACAGTCTGTGATCCCACAAATAACTTTATTTGAGTCCTGAGGGACAAGATTAGAAGAGGCAAAAGGACCTCTCAAGCTAAGTATGTGGGTCCACTCATGTCGGCATCAGATTATGATTCTCGGTGGTGTCACGAACCCTCTGGGCGGCCAGGAGTATAAATTCGTGAGATCTAGACTGCAGAGTTCCAGGTGACCGCATAGTTTAAAATGCAGCCCACATTAAATTGGCCCAGCCAAATCATGTGGTAAATGAGTACGTTTAGTGCCCGTATTTAGAATTACTGTGGAAAATCGGAATAGTACCAGTTGAAAGCTCTATGAAGTAAAACGAGCCTCGTGCTCTAAGTCTAATACAGCAGATCGTGGTTCAGTGGGCACGACCATCTCCGAACCAGCTGTAGTGAGCCCATGAGCTGTCAGTGATAGCAAGAGCCTAATTGACAGTGACACACCCACGTACAATCGATTATATATCCTGGAAACCGATTCCGTCAGGAGCTTTTCAGCAGCAGCATCGTGGTGTTCAGTAACGGAGTGCGCCAGGTATATCTACTGCATTTCCAGCCTCAGCGGCAGGAAGGAACCGTATACAAGGTTCAATTAGTCGCTCACCGGCGCATGAGTTATGTATTCAACCCGTGAAATACGCAAGTAAAGGGCGTATGGCCTCCTTACAACTTGAAATATTTGACCAATCATGTGGGAGCAGACCACCGGGGTGAACAATTGAACAATCGGGTACGCTCTAGGCGCGTCCGGTCCAATCATTCGACTTCGTGCTTGGGTGTGGAGTGCGATGGCTAATGACCAACGCTGCTTGAAGGACGTGTACAGCGGAGAGCCGACATGAATTCCAAATAAGTTGTCAGTATTTTAGAAAGTAAAAAAAAACTGTGTGGCGTCGATGAAGCTAAATACACTGGCTCATATGTGAAAGAATGCGAATGCAGCGTACTCACATCCTTGGTGACGTTGGCCGGCCTGCTGCCATTTAGTACAGGCAGGAGGAGTGACTGAGTCGACACTGTCTGGATGAGCTCAGTGCGTAGCCGCATTGTAATGGGTGTCAGCTTGTCCCGGATGGTTTTCTGAAAGAAACCATGGAGCAATAAAAAATATCACAACGCCATAAAATAACCTCCTAGAGTGCTCTAGGCTAAACACCACCTTTCTGTCTTATTAGGAATGTGATGAAAAATATTCAGTCTACAAACGAAAAAAAATACGTGAGTTTTACGTATATTAGAAACAAAGAAGCCGCGAATGTGAACTATGTTGAGGATGGATAGCCTTAACAATATTTTCCGTTTCGTTTTTCTTAGCGCCTTACACTCTTATGTTTCATTTTGGTATTGTTTATTCAAGTTGAAAAAAAATCATGCATAAAAAATAAGGCGTGCTTGCCCGTGCCTTGTGTATGCATCATTGAAATGCACGTACAGTAGGCCTTTAGATGCAGAACATCATACGTGGTAGCATTATATTGGTTTAACAGTTGCGGTAGCACATTCTGGTGAGCGAAGAGAAACCTCGAAACTACTGAAAAGCTGTCTTGCAAGAATTCAAGCAATTCATGGCACCGTTTTCAGAACGTTGTTTCATGGACAGCAGGTCGAGAGTTTTGGTGCGGAGGAAGTTCCCAGGTGCATGCTTTCTTTGAAAACAAGCGAACAAGAACAGATAGAGATGCAGCTGCTGCGAAAATAACAAAATTTGATACCATTTCACCCTGAGTGTGGGTAAACGGCAGATGTTACAGCTACACTGCCGTCTCTCCTCTTGTAGACGTTATTAATAAGCGCACCGCTCCTCGGGCGCTGTACCAATGCGTGGTCGACCCATAGATGCCCCGTATGGCCGCGCCAATGCAACGCATCGACTTGACTGACGGGAGAAACAGGCTCTAAACGAGCACCAAGGTGTTTTTTTTTTGTCGCTATACTACGTTATTTTCTCCCACCACTACACAGAAAACACCAGGTGTTTCACATGAATGCCACCACTCCCTAGAGGGCGCTGGAAATTTTTCGTATGCGGATGGACGTCGCGGAACTAAGGAGGTGTGACCTGTACAGCTCCGTTGTAGAAAAAAAGCAATGTCGAGAAAACACTTGCCAAGACATAAGCGTTCTCCGAGTTGCAGTACTGCTGGTCCTTGGCGAGCCGGACGGTCCTGTTGCGTACCAGGCTGTTTTGCTGCTCGAGCAGAAAAGCACGCGCGGGTCCCTTCCGTTCCGTATCCAGTGCCAACTCGTAAGAGACCACTGCGTGATATCGTACACTTACAGGTGAGATGAGAATGCGCACTATCATACTAATAGGTTTTTAGAAAAGAAATAACCACTACACTGCTTAGCTATGATTTCTTATGAGTGCACGGCTGCAGTCCAAACACGACGAGAAAATATGCAAGGCAGTAAGAATACCCGTCCTTACCCGGCCTTTTTACTTTCTTCAACTCGTCTGCTTCTTGCAACGCAGTCCTCATACAAGATTACTGCAAGCCGCCGGTCATGACAGATAACGTAAGTTTGCTGTTGTGCAATCTTTTTTTCAAATCAATCACAAAAAACTAATAGGTCTTTTGTACGGCTGAGCTTTTTTTTAGAAAAAAATTGACAAACTCAACGCTCATTTTCTTTATTTTCTTTTTTTTTCGGTGAAGAACAGGAACGACTAGGAATAGTAGCAGGGGTTCTCGCTGCCACGGAGGACTTTACGTTAGAAACGTTGCAGATAATGACTGTGAAAGCGCGCAGCCCCATCAAAAGCACTCGGGGTGAAAACCACCAGAGAGCACCAGGTAATACCATAATATCACCATGTAACGCGAAGACTATGGCACACAGTGCTTCAGGTGTTTTTCAAAAGCACAAGAAAGACCAAAGGTCTCTTATGACTGTCCTGTCCAAAGTTCAAGAGTTGCTTGCCCCTGAGGCTGTCGCGAGGTTCAGATTACGTATAGTTTCGATTTACGGTGCCATTAACACATCATCTCAGCAGTGCTATAGAGTTTACTCACATATAGAAGGCGCCGCTCCCAAGCCAGTGTACCGCAGACATACAGTCATGACGTAACTGCAACGTGAGAAGAGAAAAGAGAACGGACATGGATCAGACACTTTTCATAATTATGAAGTATACGCTCCTCTGCACATCATTCACTTCCACATAATTGCTGCACCTGTCATTGTTTAACAGGAAGTGACTTGGTACTGCACAAGATGCGTTTGGTCCACTGTCGTATGATTTCATCGTAAAAGCCACATCTACCTCTTTCACGTCACATTTAAAGCAAATTACACCGCACAGGGGCACACGCTGTTTGCAAACTGGTTAATATTTGAATAAACTGCTTCGCAGCAAATCTGTCGCCGAAGCGTGAAAAAATATTGTATAATAGTAATGGTGGCCGTACCGTGTAAGCACGAATACGTTAGGTGTATGCCATTGCGGTCGTACGTCCGGATTTGTTTTCATCCATTACCGAAGCCGGAACAAGCCATTCGGATAAGAATGCCCTAATCACACGAACGAACGCGTCAGCGTGCGGCGTGCCCCCTCTCTGTGCGCACGCTTTTCCTGTAAAAGGAGAGGGCGTGCATAGGAAGGGGACACGCCGCAGGCTGACGCGTTGTAACGCGTACGTGTAGCTAGAGCTTCAAAATAAAAGTAGAGCACAAAAAGACAGGACGCAGAAATAGGCGGTTTCGAAGCACGCCTGCTACCTGCGAGTCAACGCGAGTCAACTGTGCTCAAACATTTATTTGGAGGTGGTCCAAGACGCTGGGTTACCACGGCGTGTGCGCTATATATTGTACTTCTTTTCGGCTAGCCTGCTGCATTAAAGCTTTTTCTTCGGCGGCAATGTAATTCCTGGGTTCGCCTGAAGGCTAGCTTCGCCAAACGTAACAATGACAACTCATATAAGGAGATATCGATGAGAAGCCACATATGGGGACACCTTCCATATCGACCTTACCTGGTTTCAATTCAAGCATAATAACGCAGGAAATTCAAACCCGCGTGCTTACCAGTAATATTAAGCACAAGATTGTTCAATAATAAAATGTAGTTTCTCATAATACTTTGTAATAAAGCTTTCATTCGTTCGTTCGTTCTCATAACACAATTCAGGCTGCGTGACATGTAGTGATGGCGGATTAGAATAAGAAGTTCACGCGCCTTAATGTATTAGGGCAGTGGTCCGCAATTTGAGGCCCACGGGGCAATAATAAGCGGCCTCCAGCACATCATACCCCCCTCCCCTTTGTCACTTCCTATCTGAAGGCCGGCATGGCAGTTTTGACTTAAAATGTGGTTTAAAATGAATCATGGAATATTGCTTCCACTTGGCATTGCCCCCCCCCCCCTCCCCCTGTTTTTACATTTAGCCACTTTTGTTGTACTATAGCCACGGTCGGCAACCTACGACCTGCGGGTCACATGCCAACCTGCGGGCTTTATTATGCGGACCATGGCACAACGTCAACACCCTCCCGCCCTTCCCCTTCTGTTGACGTATACCTGAAGGCCGACATGGACACATAACAGTTTCGACCTAAAATGCGTTCTTTGCTTGCAACCTGTGTTTCATTGCAACTTTACGACATATGTGCCGAAAATTAACGAGATGCCTTATCCAATTTTTTTCAATTATTGTCAATTTTTTACGTTTTGCCTGCAAATCCCCCCTCCCTTATAGCCCGCTTAGTCGTCCGGACCTGGCTGTGTCGGTGTCATCAAACTTGGCCCTTCGCCCCAAAAGGTTACCCACCGCTTTAGTAGAGCATCAGTACAACTGACAGCATGACTATACATTCCGCTCTGTACACAAGGTCGCATTCGGTGACTCGGGGCAGTGTTTAGCTCACCCACCATGGCACCCTGGTTCCATCCCTTAGTGTACACGTCGTGTCCTCCAGATCGAGGTTGTCCCCGTCGATCTTGAGTGTCGCCTCCAGGTCCACCACGGGTCGGCTTCTGCAGAAAGAGAGAGGGAGAAGCTCTCTTTGAGTAGTGGTCATAGATGTGCTGAACTGACATTTGTTCCATCATTCTTATGAGCGACTCTCAAAAGTTCGCGATAACCAGCCAGTCAGAGCGGGAGTCCCTCCGTGGAGCAGGAAAAACTGCTCCGCCGAAATCGGTGGAGTGGACCGGAACTCAGCGTGACGCATTTCCTTTAACACGTTTGCCTGCTTGGGGGCGCGGCTGGCGCCGCGCCAGCCGCGCAAGCATCACGCAAGTTGTGTTGATAATGGCGGACGGCATGGATGGCTCGGCTACCTCAGCAAAGCGTGCGGCAATGCTTCTGCTACTCGATAGCGACAGCAGACATCGTGGACAATAGCTGTTGCACGCTTGGCGTGATATCCATTCCACACAGGTGAATAGCGCTGAACAAGCAAACGAACGATGCGGCGATGCTGGTAAACCACGTGGAAAACAGACAGCGAAAAAGACCACGCGCAAGGTATCCTGGGTAACGCGGCAGCTTCCGCCTTGCTCCAGCAGGACGGGTTGTGTTCCGATGGCGGATTTGGAGGATTTGCTCTTCGCCAGAGTCGAGTGCTCGCTCGCGAAGTCGGTCGGCTGAAAATTTGCTTGAGTCCAGTCATTGCAAGTTTGCAACAAAGTTCGGCTTCTGTAAACCGCGGCTTCAGAGTCTGATGCATTTATTTACTGTATATTTTAATTAGCTGGTTGGCGAGTCATGATATTGATAGCATTCAGTTTCCTGAAATTGACTAGAGGTGAGTCTGCCGCTGTGATCGTTCAGCGACCGTGGGAATTATGGGTAGTGCACAAATTCGCCTAGTGTTCGCGCTCGTGGGCTTCGAATGCACTTATGGCTCTGTTTATTGTTGTTCTTTTTTTACTTTGTTTCGAATAAAAAACAGACGTTTGGGAACTTTCTGAGCTGATTTGAATTGGTTAGCCTAAAATGTTGAGGTGGCGAAGTGCAACTACTGAGCATTCGCTCAACGTTTTCTCGTGATCAAGCAGTTTCAAGCCACGCGAAGGCAAATGGAGCTGAAAGTATGAAGGCTAGGGCGACTTTGTGTACTACTCATCATTTCATGCTCGCTGAAGCACAACAAAGCTGCCATAAACAGTAGAGCCAGGATTCCCTTAGTGTGTTTATAGGGATATTATTGACAGAGACTGTGATTGTGTTTTTATATTTTTGCAAGAAAATTATTTCTCTTATGATGCTTCATCAATAACGTATCTATGTCTATCTTCTTACAGATTGCCGTTGCAGTCTTAATATGTATTAATTTCTGAAGGCATAGCTAATGCTCTCATTCGGGCGAGCCTATAGATGCTTCTCTTTCGCATGAATTGCGGGGGGGGGGGGGGAGGTATCAGGATATTAAGAGCGCAAACAATATCTGTAAACGAAGTTGTCTGTCTGCACTGAAATTTATAAACCACGTCGATGCAGTCCCCTTTACGGGATGCACAGGCTCGCCAACGTGTAACCACTGCCAACGTCTCTCGATGGCAAAGTTTTATTAATGGGTAGATGTATGAAAAAAGTTTATGGATAAACGGGTCGACGCGGCGCTATGGGAGAAGATAGCGTGACATTATCAGTAACTGCATAGGGATACAGTTGTAAATGAAATATAAGCAATTGCGTCACTATTTACAAAAATGAAAGGAAAAATATATTGATACATGAAAGGCAACGTAGGTTCATTATTTTTTTTTCTTACCGGAGATACACCGCAGCATCGGAATCGTACGCTCCAACCAAGAGATCTGCAGGAGTCGAGAAAACGAGCAGTCAGTGCAGTCCTCCCACTCAGAGAAAAGGGATGAAGAAATCCTTCAACAAAAAGCGTCTTCGAAGACGACGTTTCGGCAAGGGTACTTGCTTTCTTCAGGGCAGCAACTGTTTCCATTGGCTACCTTGAAGAAGACAAGTCACTTGTTGAAACATTGTCTTCCCTGCTCAAGAATTTATTCATCTCTTCAAGCTAGCATCTTCTATTGAGCCTCTGCCCTGTTTGTATTTAATTTACAACATATACGAAGCTGTAGCTGAATACGTGACGACAAATACCTTACTGCAAAGGTCAACAGGATAGCGGACAAAGTACTGTTCATGTCCCTTATGAATCCTGCAAGTTAGGTGCTATCTACCCATCCAACCACAGCAAGAAGCGGCTGCTTTAAGCAGGTTAACATCCCCGTCTTCGTTCCAAGAAACTGGGCCTGCAAACGCCGCCACAAGAGAGACGTGAGGACAACATAAAAACTGCAAAGTTGTGCAACAGCGGAAAGGAAAGAAGTCATGAAAACCTATCTGCGCGTGCGCAGGCAATAGGCGAACTTATCAATTCAGCAACGTGGGGGTCTACGTGAAGGATACATGGACCATGACGAGAGCGTAGACCCCCGCGTAGGCCCTCAAAAGTCGAGATACCCTTCCGCGCGCAAATTAAGGGCCCTAAACAACCGCGAAAAATACAACCGCGAAAAACAACCGCGAAAAATGAACAAATGAGCGAGTTTTAATCGCCAAGAGTTTGCCGTACTTTGGGCACAATTCGTGGTGTCAGCAGTCCGTTCACACGATGCCGTGAAAAAAAATGCGCTCTAATGTGGCACAAGTACGGGGGTTATCGGTCGTGAATTGTCCCTTACTACCCTTCACCGCGTTGTCGCACGACCTTGCTGCCTTGTCTCGCATGGCCATCGCACGTGATCAACCGACTTGCTTTTTGTTTTGTTATTTTTCGACATATGTGCAAGCGGAGATAACAGAGTGTAGTAGGAATGTGCGCAGTACGGATAGGCTCTACGCTTAGTGCTGAAATTTTGCGCGTGTTTCATGAAGAAAAAAGTGGTCAAAGTGATATAGTGCCTACAGGCAAGGTAGTAAAGGCGAGAAAGAAACCACTTTCTCGCCTTTGAACTCGAAGTTGTTTAGACCTCCTCTATAAACGCCGAAGTTGGCTAAGCTTGCTCACAGGCACAGTCGTTGGTGAGCTTGTTGACCAGGGTACTCGTTGCAGCTTGTTTACCAGGATACCAGTTGATAACCTTCTTTACCAGGATACTAGTTGCTAAGCTCAAAGGTATACTCGTTTAAGCCTGCTTGCCAAGATACTCGTTGCTAAGCTTGCTTACCAGTCTAGTAGCTGCTAAAATTGCTCAGTTCTCCCATACAAGCCACAAAGATATGGCTGTTTTATGCCACAACATAACGAGCTAAGGGTTGGAGGGAGCGAAAACTATTATTGAAAGCTTGCGGTCCCCTTGAACAGCCATACCTTGTGGCTTGTACAGATTCATGAACCACTAGCCCAGCAAAGAGTACTACTTTTAAGCTTGCTCACTAGTACACTCGTTGCTAAGCTTGGTCACCAGGATACTCTTTGCTAAGCTTGCTTGCCATGATACTCGTTGCCAAGCTTGCTTGCCAACATACTCTTTGCTAAGCTTGCTCGCCAGGATACTCTTTGGTAAGCTTGCTTACCAGGATACTATTTGTGAGCTTGGTTACAAGGATACTCGTTGCTAAGCTCGCTTACCAACATACCCTTTGCTAAGCTTGCTCGCCAGGATACTCTTTGGTAAGCTTGCTTACCAGGATACTATTTGCTGAGCTTGGTTACAAGGATACTCGTTGCTAAGCTCGCTTACCAGTATAGTCGCTGCTAAACTTGCTCAGTTCTTCCGTACAAGCCACAAAGATATGGCTGTTTTTCGCCACACCATAACGAGCGAAGGGTTCAAGGGGAGCGAAAATTATTGAAAGTTTGCGATCCCCTTGTACCCTTTCTTCGTTATTTCGTAGCGCAAAACAGCCATACCTTGTGGCTTGTACAGAAACATGAACCAACTAGCCAGGCAAAGAGTACATTTAAGCCTGCTCACTAGTACACTCGTTGCTAAGCTTTGTCACTAGGATACTCTTCATTAAGTTTGCTTGCCAATATACTCTTTGCTAAGGTTGCTCGCCAGGATACTCTTTGCTAAGCTTGCTTACCAGGATACTATTTGCTAAGGTTGCTCGCCAGGATACTATTCGCTTTGCTTACTCATTAGGATACTCGTTGCTGAGCCTGCTTACCAGAATACTCTTTGCTAAGCTTGCTCACCGGAATAGATTTGCTAAGCTTCCTTATCAGCATACTCTTTGCTAAGCTTCCAGCTCAGGATGCTCTTTGGTAAGGTTGCTCATTATTATACTCGCTGATAAGCCAGCTTACCAGGATACTCGTTGCCGTCCAGATCGAGTCCTCCAGAAAGAGAGAAGCCAAACGTGTTGAGGTCCCACGTGACCTCTTCGGCCATAATCACCTGCGAAGGAGCGGATAGCCTGCCACGAGGATTGCCCAGGAATATGTACACTGCGCCCCGCGAGTCTGTTCCAGCGTATGGGGCACCCACGGCGAAGTCTGCAACAGTAAGATTCGCCATCTGTTTATCTACACCCTTTACAAAATGTCAATGACGCGTTTGTTCACCACATTAGCTGAACGCTCAACCAGAGAACTTACAACCAGCCTCTTACGGTGAAACCTCCATTCTTGGGCCCAAGTCCCAGCAGTCGTCGGCCCAAAATGATATAAAACCGATGGCGTGTTTTCTAAAAACTTGTTAACTGAATGAAAAAAGAACATAGTTTGCGGGCAGGCTTAGTTTCTCTTCTCATATTTTTTTCTTCCAAAATATGTATTTTGTTTCTTTCCTTATTTGAAGCGAGAATGCACTGTAAAACTAAAAGAAAAGGACAGAAAAAAAACAGAAAGACAGACGAAAGATAGCGAAATATAGAAAAGTAGAAAAAGAAAGAGAGAGAGAGAGCAGAAAAAAGAAAAAAACCGAAGATAAACAAAATGGCTGCCCAGCTGCGCATTTCCTTCAGGCTTCGAACCACTAAGAAGCTGCCTTAATTTTTATTCGAGTTTTTTGTTCGCCGTTTGTTAGTGTATACTTTCCAATGTCATATCCGTTAGGGAATAACATCAGTTGAGCCACGGTGGACCATGGCATGAAACACGTTCGTGTTAAAAAATATGTGGCTATATAGTAAATAAAGTTGTTTCTCTCCCTCTCTCTCTGGCTATATAGTCAGTCAATATATTTCACACTCCTCCGCCTCTGTGGATCGATGGCCAGGGGTGCTCGGCTGCTGACCCGAAGGTCTCGGCTTCGATCTCAGCTGCGGCGGTCGCGTGGAGGCGAAACGGTGGACACTGGTGTATTGTGCGATGTCAGAACACCACATGGTCAAAATTTCTGGAGCCCTCCATTACGACGTCTCTTGTATTCGTATCATGGTTTCGGGATGTAAATCCTCACTTATTAGTTAAATTAACAAGTTTCGCACATTAAACATTCTTATCTGAGCGCTTGCGATCCGCTCCGGTAAGACCTCCGTCTGTTAGCGATTTACACACGCACGCCGAAAATGAACTGTAGCACGCATGACGCGATTTGCATAGAAACGCGTAGAATGAACTGCACAGCACGTGCGTAGAATGATCGCTCGAGTTGCGGAACGGTGAAGCCCGCCCGCTGGGTAAAATTTTACCCAGCGGCCATGGCAGAACGTATCCCTGGCTTCGATTGATATGTGGGGTTTAATGCCCCAAAACCACCATATGATTATGAGAGACGCCGTGATGGAGGAGGAGGAGGAGGAGGAGGAGGAGAAGGAATAAACTCTATTATAAGAAACCAGCAGGTTTAGATGGTCGGGCCTAGGCCTCCCATGAGGGGACGTCAAGGGCTTGTCTTGACGCCGCCCCACTGGCGTGCTGGGTCGCCCAGGTTTGGCGTCAAGAGCGGGGCTCCGCAGAGCCTCATGGAGCTTCGACGAAAGGGTCGTGGTGTTAGTGTGCCTGTACTGTGCCGGGCGCTCCCACAGCATATGCGGAAGCGTGGTCGGGTGAGTGCCCCAGCACCAGCCGTGGAAGGTTGTGTACACGTCCGGGAATATGAGGTGAAGGCGGTCAGGTAAGGGATACGTGTTTGTTTGAAGTAGACGCAAAGTACTGGCTTGGTTGAACTTGGGGTGATGTGGGGGAAAGGCTCGGCGTCTAAGGTAAAAGTTCTTAACGAGATAATTGTAGGTAGTCAGGTTGTCCCTGGTGTCCATCTCGTCTCCAGTAGCTCCAGTGCGGTTGACAAGGCCTCGCGCAAGGGAGTGGGTTATCTCGTGGAGGTTGGGGAGGCGGGGGGGCTGGGCCAGCGTGGGAGGGGTGATCACGTTGTCAAGGTGATCACGTTGTCTTTGGAGTGTGGTGTCTGGCAAAGGATGCGAAGCGCTTGAGGAGAAATGCGGCCTTTGCTGTAGCAAGTGACAACTGAGCGAGAGTCGCATACGATGGTGTCACAGGTGGGATCTAGAGTGGCCAGGGCGATGGCCACCTCTTTAGCCGTCTCGGCAGAAGGAGTAGTGACGCTGTAAGCATAATGTAGGACTCCATTGCGTGTGGTGACAGCTACAAAACGTGTGCCTTGAGGATACTGAGCTGCGTCAACAAACGTGCCGTCAGATGCGTGGGCAAGGGTTTTGTGACGGCTCCAGCGCAAGCTTGACGCCGGGTTCTGTTGTACTCAGGATGCATGTTTCTAGGGATGGGATTCGCGTGGATCCCGCTGCGGATGTTATGCAGAGTTGATTGTTTGGGGCCCTGTTGCTGATGATACGTGAAGCCAAGCGTGGAGAGAATAGAACGTCCTGTTTCAGTGAGTGTGATCCGTTCAAGTTGACTGCGTTATTGGGGTTCGACGAGTTCTGCAAGGGTGTTGTGAACTCCCAGTTGATTGAAAAGTTCAGTGCTGGTGTAGTGCGGGAGGCAAAGTGCCTGCTTGTAGACCCCTCGTATGAGGGTATCGAGTTTGTTTTGTTCTGCACGGTACCAGTTCAGATAAGCAGCAACGTAGGTGATATGACACAGGACAAAAGGCTTGTAAAGAAGATTTAGTCGGTGAACAGCGCAGTCCGGTTCTTTGGAGAAAGGCCTCAATCGTGTCAATCGCTGTCTGCAGGGCTGTCTACTTGACTATCACTACCTTGGCGCGCCCAGATGGGGCTGTCGTCGGCCTAGATAGTATAGTGGATGTTGTCGACCGGTTGTATTGCTGTGCAAAGCCAAGCATGACTAAGTTAAAGAGCATGGGGGAGATGACTGACCCTTGCGGGGTGCCTACACTGCCAAGAGGAATGAATGCTGATCGTAAATCTCCGACCGAAAGGGTGGCTGTGTGGTTGGAGAGGAAGTCACGGATGTAATTGTAGGCTCGCTCTCCCAGGTGGAGGAGACAAACTTGTTCGAGAATAGCAGCATGGGAAATGTTGTCAAAAAGCTTGACTAAGGTTGAATCCGAGAATAGCCTTGGTCATACGGGGACGGTCGTTTAGAACTTGGTGCTTAAGTTGCAGCATAGCGTCTTGTGCTGACAGGCGAGGTTGAAATCCAATAAAGGTGTTGGGATAGATAGAGTTGTCTTCAAGGTAAGTGTTGACGCGTGCCAAGAAGGCGTGTTTCATAACCTTGCCCACGCATGAAGGGAGAAAAATGGGTCTTAGGTTGTTGAGGCTTGATGGTTTGCCGGTCTTTTTAATTAAGATGACTTTCGCAGTTTTCCAAGCAGGCGGAAAGGAGCCATTGCGCCAGCAATCGTTGATGTAGTCAGTAAGATGGGACACGGATTCGTTATCTAGATTGCGAAGTGTTTTTTTTTTCGTGACCCCGTCTGGGCCTGGAGCAGAGCGACCGTTTAGCTTACAGAGGGCAGCATGTATTTCGGATTTGCTAAATTCTGCGTCTAGTGTGGGGTTGCGGTTACAGACGTAATTGCTGTGTGGACTGACTTGTCTCCTGGAGAGTGTTACATTACGCTGGTTAGTCGCCGTAGGACCGCAGCCTATGGATTCCAGGATGCGCCTACCAGCCCTCGAGGACGATGAGTTTGCCCATGACCGTGCGCGAGGTATCGCTCAACGCGGCGGTCCCGGCGGATTAGCAGGCGGGGACGCCGGAAGATACAGGAACTTGCTACTCACTTTCCACGAGATCATGACTCATTATCATCTATCTCGGAGGGCTTTTCCACTTCCTCATTCTAAACTTACGCGACCGCTATCATCGGCCTACAGGATGCTCCAAACGGGGTCTTTCCCTTCGCGAGGCAGCTTCAGTCATTTTTCGCCCAACATCGAGCCGCATTGTCCGGACTGCGGAGAGGCGTATTGCTCATTACCTCATATGCTCTGGCAATGTCCTGCGTTACGTGACGCAGAGTTCAACAAAGAAGAGGACTGGGAGGAAGCCCTTAACAGCGGCGACCTCTTGGTTCAACTTCGGGCTGTCCAGAGGGCCTGCGAGAGGGCGGAGGGCCACGGTCTTCCGGTCCCTACATGGGAGCGGCCCGCGACTGCTACGGATTCCCCCTAAACGGGGCCGTTACAACGCAGTTCCTCAGGACCTGAATAAAGTTCTTTGTCTGTCTGTCTCCTGGAGATGTACCTCGTGCAGAGATAGTCAAGCATATTTTGCTGGCCTTGCTCAAGGGTCTCCGTATAAAGGAGTTTCTGCAGCCGATCTTGTTGGGTATAGTGCAGGTGTTGGTAGTGTCGAGTAGGTGTTTCAAGAGTTTCCACGAGGATGGGTGGTGAAGTTGCCCGTTTATCGTGTACACAGCTCAGTCCATTTTTACCGGCTGAGAGTTTGACAGTGCTCCTCTATGGCTGCGTTGAGTTTAGAGATCTTGCATCTGAGGCGACGGTTTAAGCGCTGCTCCTTCCACCGAGCTACCTAGAAGCTTTAGCCTACAAAAGGTGGGCTAGGTGGCTATCTATGCATTCAACCGGGTCACCTGTGGTTATCACCCGAGTGGCCGTGTGGACGTCAGTGCGTAGGGTTTGCGCCCAGGTGTCAATATCGGCGATGCGCTCCGCTGAGGTGACGCCGCTGCGCATCTTACGAATTGCATCCCAGTCGGTAATAGTGAACACTTTAGGGGGGGGGGGGCAGGGGCAGCAACGAGATGACGTAAAGAGATAGCGATGAGGTAATGGCCACTCCCAAGGTCCTGTTGTGTGTTAGTCCAGTGTGCATTGCTGATATGGTAGGTAAATGTGAGGTCTGGAGTAGAGTCCCGGGTAGTGGAGGAACCAAGGCGTGTGAGGAAGGATGCATCTGTGATAAGCGTGAGGCCTGAGTCATGGTAACCTTGCCAGAGGTTGCGAGCTGCAGCTTCCGTGCCAACGTAGCCCTAACAGGTATGGGAAAGGTTACAGTCACCGCCGATAAGGAGATAGTGCGTTCCAGAAACATGGAGGGCCTTCTTAAAGAGAGTGAGGACTTGACACTTTGCTTTGTTCTTTGGGCTATTGTAAATGTTTACAAGAAAGATGCATTTTTTCCGTTTACGTTTAGGAATTAATTTGAGGAACAGTTGTTCGATGTGAGGGCTACGGAGATGATGTTCAATAACGGGGATGCGACGCCGTACTAGGGTGGAAACCCGGTGACGTGGGTGAGCTGTGTGGAAGGTTTGATAACCGGAAAGTGTGATAGGGACGTTGTTCGTTTCTTGGAGTAGAATAGCATCAGGGCGGCGGATATGTTGATGTATACGTAACGGTTAAGGACCGATCGTTTTTTTTTGTGAATTCCTCGGCAGTTCCACTGTCAAAATAGGGTGCTTGGATAGTGTAGGCCATGGTAAGAAACGGGGGATGTCACCATCCGCGTCACAGAAGGGTAGCAGAAGCACGCAGCTTGGCTAGAAAGCACCGTGGTGGAGGGCTCCGAAAAAAATTTGACCATCTGGTGTTCTTCAACGTGCACTCAAAGCTGAGCACACGTGCCTACAGCATATTCGCCTCCATCGAAAATGCAGCTTCCGCAGCCTGGATTTGATCCCGCGACCCACGGTTCAGCAGCACAGTTCATTAGCCGCTAGACCACCATGGCGGTGCACATATCTGGCTTTAAGATGTCAACTGAGCGGAGCGTGAAGGAGCGCTTTGGTTTCGTCGTCGTTTTGCAGCCAAGTTTACAGCGTCTCGGCAAGACGCGCTCGCCGAAAACGCGATATCTACTCAGTTTCCTGCACTGTCTCGGGACGCTACATCTGCACGGGCTGGGCGTAAGCAACGTTAAACTTGACATGTGTTTTTAAGCACGTTATGCGAGCATATCACCAATTGACACTTATGGAGAATGGCCCTCATATGCTCTGAGGGCGAAACTGCATCGGTGACTGTTTGGCCATACAAGTATTGCAGCATAACCCCCAGCGAGCACATGGAGGTAAATCAAGAAGAATAAGTGAAGTGTGTGTTGTCCCGAGTTGTAAGATGGACAAACACACCTACCAGCAGGTATATTATGACACTTTATAAGTGAGTCAGCTCTCTTTGAGCTCTGACTAGTCTCAGTGGATTGCAGCATTCTGGAAACCGCAGGAGCGTGTCTGCGCATGGAGTTTATCAGAAAGTATAGAAAGTTTATCAGAAAATATCAGTAAGCGTATTTAAGATTATTTCTAGAGTAAAAAATGTTGTCACAACGTCAAAACGCATCATTCACTGGGAATAAAAGACCAGTAGCAGCATGTGAACAGTAATAACTGTTTTTTAATAGCAGTAAAGTATAGATTAATAAAAAATAAAAATAGCCACAGGAGCGCAAGCATGATACGATACATTTAGGAATTTTTTCTGTGATAGTTATTAATAATAAAAGGCTTGTAAGCATTTAGAAACGCATGAGTGGGTTCATTTTAAACCATGCAGCTGGTTCCAAGTTTTTTCAGTGTTAAAATATTGATGTCTCACTGCAACAATCAAAGTGTTCGTTAGAGAGAAGAAAGTGATGGCGCAGACAAGGGCCAAATGTGTTTTTTTTTCTTTTTTAATACCAAAACAGAGATAATATATCATACCAACATCTAGTGGTTTAACAACCGAGAAAGATTTTTCAAACTTTGACAGGTCCAGTCCGGCCCTTGAGGACTAGCGGAGGCTAGGCTAGTCAGAAGGGCTTTCAAAGTTCCTGCGCGAGCGCGGTCCAGCCGCCCTGCTATAGTTACCGCGCAGCGAAGAATCAAAAATGTAGATGATTACTCGCGCTCTAATCTTCGTCGGCTGACTCTAGTTGGAAAGTGATTTTGTTCGCTGCATGGTAACTATAGCAGGGTGGCTGGACCGCGCGCACAGCTAGGAGCCTTGAAAAGGAGCGACTCGACTCGTTGGTGACAGTTTCAAGACTCCAGCGCGCGCGCCCCAGCCGCCCTGCTATAGTTACCGCGCGGCGAAGGATTCGCTTTCCAGTTAGAGTCAGCCGACGAAGTTTAGAGCGCGAGTAATCATCTACAAGAGCTGAAAGGACGGCGAGAGCCAGCGGTGCCTTGAAATAGGGGCCCGACAACGCGACGTTGCCCTGATTTAGCGCCAGCAACGTATTTTTCGCAAATAAAGTTTTGTTCTTTCTTTTTCTGGACAGGGAATGAATATGCTTCATTAGGGCGCACTGAAGTTTTTAAACGAGGATATCATCAAGTGTGCAAATGAATATACCAAGATAAAAGAGCATATCTATAGTAACTCCTTATGTTGCTTTTGTTTATTTGAACAGTTCATCACGATAACATAAACAGGGAATTACATATTACTTTTAGCACATTTCGCCATCTGCAGCTACAGTTACTTCTCGTTAGAATTTTAAACAAAATAGCGCGAAATAAAAAAAAGTGATTTCAGTTGCATAATCTATTCTAGAGCAATTTTTTCGTTTGATGTCTTTGTTTTGTTTTTGTTTGGAGCATAGACCAGTGCGAATAAAAGCTTTATAAACACTCACCTTGATAGCCGTCGCGGTCGATATCACCCAGAGAGCAAAGAGACATGCCGAAACGTCCTTTTGTTTGATCCCCATCCAGAAACGTAGCACGCTCCAGGTTTTTCTGCGTATAGGAATACGTGCAGATATCACACATATGCATACAGTTATCTGGTCAATATCTGTACGACGTTGTTGACCAGAAATGTCTTCATCGTTTTGTCTAATTATTACAAGTGCTAATCTAGCAGCAGCATTCAAACATAATACAGGACTCCTCCCAGCAGAAAGTGACACGAACAGTGCGAGATTAGGTGAGTACAGTCTTAAGTTGTAATTATTATAACAACAGTACTTTCAAAAAGAGCAGAGTATCACCGGCCATTTCTGGGGACGTGTTCGCTATGTCGACGGAACATGGCACCGCTTGCTTCCAGCGGTGGTCTCGGATATTGTTCGTGGTAGAAGGAGCTGCTGGACGTCGAGGCATATCTTAATGGCGCTTGGTGTAGGCCACGGTGTAGGCCAACGTTTATAGAAGCATTGGTGTAGGCGGCGCCTCCAATAGTTACTGTAGGCCCCAGTTTGCTGGGCATGTTGCTGGGCCCCGGACACACTTGAAAACGGACACTTCACTTTAGTGCAGCCGTAGATGGGGTTGTGTCCAGTTATTTTCGAGCGGGAGCTGGTTGAAGATGTCATCGGTGCACTGGCCAGCTTTTGCTGTCTACATCCTCACGTGCTCTATTGTGTCATAATGCTAAATCAATTTCACGTGTGCTCAATCTATGACTCGATACTGTACCGAACGCCGTCGTCATTAGTTTTTACCGCACTCTTCCGAAACTCCGCCATTGCCTTGAAAACGCGAAGTGTACCATACCAGTACGTATATTACGGCATTTGGCTTAACTTGAGAAGAAACAGCGATTTTCTTGGAGCTTGTGCTGACTTACCTGGGTAAGTTTCGCAAAACCCCTCTCCCCAGAGCTGTCACACACGCGCCAGATAAATGATAAAAACAAATTTTCTTTCGCGACGATTAGAACTCGGATCCCCCACTTCTGAAAGCCACTGCCTTGGTCATTTTCTCATGTTGGCCCAATGTGAACTGCAATGAACCACATGAGTACATTTTCCCGAAGACGCAAAAACGAAAGGGAAAGTGGTGGACTTTCTGTGGGCGCTTCACTGCAGTATTTCGTGTGGCGGACTAAAAGCGATCTGCTGGACAAGGTCGGTATGGGAATTGCACGTTTCCGGATAATGCCAACTTCAAGAAAACTGAATTCCTAAACCGGGTTTCTACGATCACACGGTGGCTCTTTCGATGGGCCCTTCTACAGGCGGATGAATGCTGCGAAGAACAAGAAAGACTCCACACCGGAATCCTCCCGAGGAGAGTGTTGCAGGAATGGCTGCTACATAGAAAGAAAGAAAGAAAGAAAAAAAGAAAGAAAGAACGAAAGAAAGAAAGAAGGAAGGAAGGAAGGAAGGAAGGAAGGAAGGAAGGAAGGAAGGAAGGAAGGAAGGAAGGAAGGATGGAAGGAAAGAAGGAAGGAAAGAAGGAAGGAAAGAAGGAAGGAAGGAAGGAAGGAAGGAAGGAAGGAAGGAAAGAAGGAAGGAAGGAAGGAAAGAAGGAAAGAAGGAAAGAAGGAAGGAAGGAAAGAAGGAAAGAAGGAAGGAAGGAAAGAAGGAAGGAAGGAAGGAAGGAAGGAAGGAAGGAAGGAAGGAAAGAAGGAAGGAAGGAAAGAAGGAAGGAAGGAAAGAAGGAAGGAAGGAAAGAAGGAAGGAAGGAAAGATGGAAGGAATAAAAGAAAGAAGGAATGAAAGAAAGAAGGAAGGAAAGAAAGAAGGAAGGAAAGAAAGATGATTGCCTATTCCCATTTACCCAATTGAGGAAGGGCTCCTGATTCTTTTTTTTTGTCTGATCATTTTCTCGTGATCTTGAGAACAGCGAAGACTTTTGCGAACGAACTATATAACGCAGCATGCTTTTTACACAGTTGCAATGGCGTCTGCAACGTATGAAGCGTCTAAACAGTGAAAATTTGAAACAGAAAGCCGTGCGCCGTTCTCGAGGAAGCCTTGCTTCGAGTGAGAGTCAAGGTCACTTGCACAAATGCCCGATACGCAACACGCCATGCCATCAACGCCATTGACAACAGCAAACGGCTTTTCATTCAATGCCGAACGTACCGTACCAACAGAAATGCGCCTAGAAACATGCTCCGGTACACACCGGAAAAGAAATGGAAGGAACGGAGCTTACAGACGCTAGTTGACGGGGAATGACTATGTTTGGCAGTGAAGTCTCTCCTGACAGAATACTTGCATGGTTCAATTTCCTTTAACTATGCCAATAACGAACAGAAATAATTTCGGTAATACACTCCCCGTAGATGGTGCCTCACGACCAACAACTTATCATTGGAGAGAAATGTATACCGTAAAGGCTGGGAGGTTAACCGGAAAACGCATATGTGGTTGGCTACCCCGCACTGGAATAGGGTTAAGGGGAGACAGAAAAGTAAAAAAAACACGTCAGTAGAAACACACGCACGAGGGAGTGTGATAATGGCTCAACAAGACACCCGCAACAGACGCTCGCACGGACGATTCAGCTGCGAATTAGAGCAATGCTTTCTGGTGCAAAATGCGAGCTTTCCAACATTCTGAGTTGGATTGCTCGGAAAGCAGCTGTTCGTAATGTCATTCAAACACTCCTAAGATGCACTTTCTCTGGGAGCTACTGAGAGGACACTGACACAGGGTGCGTTCAATAATTTATACGCTGCCGCAAATGTCACAAAGCAGCGGTGTCCACCATTCCAATGCGGCAAGCAAAGTCGTTTGTAAAAGACACTTCAAGTCGCAGGCAGAGCGGTTGGCACTTATCGGTGTAGTCCAGATGGAACTTGGATTTGGAGGCATGCACAAGTCGAGACCGCACTAGGTAGGTGTGGACTAAGTCGGGTGTATTCCACGCTTCGCCGATGACATTGCATTGCTGAGTAACTCAGGGAACGAATTGCAACTCATGATTACGGAGTTACACAAGGAGAGCAGAAAGGTGGGTCTTAAAATTAATCTGCAGAAAACGAAAGTAGTGTACAACAACCTCGGAAAGGAGCAGCGCTTTGAGATAGGTAATAGTGCACTTGAAGTTGTAAAAGACTATGTCTACTTAGGGCAGGTAATAACCGCAGAGCCGAACCACGAGATTGAAGTAACTAGAAGAATAAGAATGGGGTGAAGCACATTCAGCAAGCACTCTGAAATTATGACAGGTAGATTGCCACTATCTCTCAAGAGAAAGGTATATAACAGCTGTATCTTGCCAGTACTTAGCTACGGAGCAGAAACCTGGAGACTTACAAAGAGGGTTCAGCTTAAATTGAGGACGACGCAGCGAGCAATGGAAAGAAAAATGGTAGGTGTAACCTTAAGAGACAAGAAGAGAGCAGAGTGGATTAGGGGACAAACGGGAGTTAAGGATATCATAGTTGAAATAAAGAAGAGGAAATGGACGTGGGCCGGGCAAGTGGCGCGTAGACAGGATAACCGCTGGTCATTAAGGGTAACTAACTGGATTCCCACAGAAGGGAAGTGGGTTAGGGGGAGACAGAAGGTTAGGTGGGCAGACGAGATTAAGAAGTTTGCGGGTATAAATTGGCAGCAGCAAGCACAGGACCGGGTTAACTGGCGGAACATGGGAGAGGCCTTTGTCCTGCAGTGGACGTAGTCAGGCTGCTGCTGCTGCTGCTGCTGCTGCTGCTGATGATGATGATGATGATGATGATGATGATGATGATGATGATGATGATGATGATTCCACGTAGATCGTGTGACAACGCTTGCGAGATGTGGCTGATATTATTAGATAGCTTCCAGCTTGGCGGCCTTTATGCTTGTCTGCATTTTTACGCATAACCACTATTCATCATTGGGACACACGATTGGCCTTTTCGACGTTGATCTAAGTGTCATATTTTATCAGTATTCCGCTCACTCATCCCCCTCCCCCTTCATACACTAATGAATGAATAAATAAACTTTATTGAAAGTCTGGCAGTTGTGTTTAGGCACTAGTGTTTGTGACCTTGACTCTCGCATGAAGCACGGCTTTTTTTGAGAACGGGGCACGCCTTTCTGTTTCAAAATTTCGCTGTTTAGATGCTTCATACCTTGCAGACGCCATCGCCACTGTGCAAAAAGCGTGTTGCGTTAGTTCATTCGCAGAAGCCTTCACTGCCCTCGAGATCTGGAGAATATCCAGATCAATGATGGAGATCAGACGGGAAAAAAAAATCAGGAGCCCTTTCTCAGTTGGGAAAAGGGGCAAGCAACATACTGTTTTCCCCTCTTTATTTATTTCCTTCTTTCTTTCTTTCTTTCATTATTTCTTTATTCTTTTCTCTTTCTTTCTTTCGTTTCTTCTTTCTTTCTTTCTTTCTTTCTTTCTTTCTATGTAGCAGCCGTCACCACAAGGCCTTTTAGGGCGGAATCCGGTGTGGCTTGCTCTTGGCCTTTACATCATTCGCCCGCCCGTACAACGGCTCAACGAAAGAACAAACACTATCATTTATTTTTCTTTCTGCGCTGCGCCTTTGTCACTCCACCGAGTGATCTGGTCAGAGCTTGAAGCGCCAGGTTGACTCGTCTCGTTTTCACTCGTCACGTGTTGAGACATTGCGCATTTTGTACGAAAATACGAAATTTCGGCTTACACACACACACACACACACACACACACACACACACACACACACACAGTTTGACTCGCAAGCACCTACTCCTTACCGCTGTCTTCTGCAGGTAGACGTGCACGCGACCCCTTTCGTAGCTGCCATCCTTCAGGTCGAGTGCCGTGTACAAGGGAGCTCCCACCACCAGGTCGTCCAGCCTGCATTCCAAATAATTTAAATAATTAACAAAATGTTTTGTTTTAAACAACCTTTTTTATGACAACAATCATCTTGCAAGCATCAAAGATGGCCCCTTGTGGAGGCCATCTGTAGTCTGATACAACTTCATAAGTCCGCGACGTTTTCTCTGCAGAGCGGCAGCACAGTACAAGGCTGCACCAATTGGCGCGTACTCCAGATTGACGTCATGAGCCGGACGGCTGGTAGCCACGCCTTCAGAGAAGATTGCCGAGTGCACGAGCGGTACTATTTAAGCGTGGAGGCAATCGGCTGCCGCGCTGCTGTCCTATGGGCGTGGTATTTCCGGACTTAGTTTGTATCCAGCTGTAGTGATGTATAAGAGCGCCCTCCTCTGGAAGTTAGTGAGTGCTAGCGAATTCGCACAATCAATACACTAATGATTTTAGCAGCCCTTCTCTCATGCTTGTTTCCTCAGTACGTGGTGAAGCAGGCGAGCGGCGTGAATAACCACGGCTAATTATGCAGTGGCTAATGTAGAAGTCTTTCTTCGTGAACGCTTTCATTGACAACTGTGCTCGTTCTCGAAATGGGTAGGGAGTGTGACAAGCGATTGTTGGTGCATAACAGGTTATATCATCATGAACACGTTATATCACAAGGTGACATTCCCTTTTAATTCCTTCTACATAGGTAAGGATGTCCTGCCTCATATATCTCTGTTAACAAATTTATTAAACATTTTAGAGGACAAGCCTTATTGAAGTGAAGTGTGCGTGAATGGTTACCATCTTCTTTTTCCCCTATAGCAATTTAGGAATTCGTTCACTTTGCGACCGTGTGCTTCTTGGTTAACTACACATCACGCACTGCCATGCTAGTTCCGGTGGTGCGTAGACACAGCTATACGAAAGCGTGCAAGGAAATGAGTGTTTCGCACCCGTCTCCGTTCAGGTCCACCGTGGCCAGCGCATAGCCGAAGTAGGCGCCCATCTGGTCTCCTGTAAGGTTGAGCAGAGAACGGAGCTGACTGTCGTACAGGGCCACCTGCGAGATAATCAGGAGGGTCATTTCTCGAACGCTGTAACGAGCGCAAACACGTACGACCACACGAAACGCAAACAAATAACGACAATAATAAGCAAGGTTTGAATGCACCGTGTCTTGACATAGCATAACAGTACTCTATATGGACAGTTCCACAATTTGTCGGTACACACCAGGAAGGTTCGCAAAAAACGAAGCGCTACCAAAACATCGGTACCCTCGTACAAGCAGCGGTCATCTTAGATATGTGGGGCCAGGTTTCTTGAAGTTGGCTGTTCATTTACCTAAAATACAGCATCTTTAGCTGAGCTGAGTATGAAAACTCCCAATGTGGTGAAGTTTTATGTGCATTCCTAGCTTTCAACTGATTTCCACTATATTTTACAAGATTAAAGTCTTAAAGGTCACTATGGGACCACTATAGGGCCGAGGTATCAAACTCATCTGAGGCCGCAAGCGCACAATTCAGTCTCTCAAGGGCCGCCTATGAGTGGGTGGGTGGGTTAGTTGGTACACATTGTCAATAAACGTTATCATCGAAAGAAAAACCTTTTTAATATCTCATACGCAGGTAATTTCTAAAGAAGATTTGGGGACAGGAAACCCAGCCAACAACGTGTCGATACTGATCTCGAAAATGAGTAAATTGGGGACGCCAATTCTGAAACACTGATTTTATTTCGCGTTTACGCATCATCACATGGTGACCACATAGGGCGCCTCACCAAAAAAACGTTGGTTTAGACTGGTCGCACCTGAATACCTCACGCACATGCTTGCCTTGGAATATATATATATATATATATATATATATATAGCGACTGTTCAGCTGTGTACTCCTTTCATTGAACCCATGCGAATGTCCGCCCCCCCGAGAAGCCTCATGCAACGCTTCTCCCTCGGCAGAAACTGCCACTTTCTTTTTTTTTAGTCCTGCAGTTCAAAGAAAACTGTTACTTGCCTTCCCGGAGAGTTTCTCGCCACGTGGCATGCCGACGGCCACATCGTAGTCGCTAGAACCGGAAAATTTGCCAGCCGCAGTGGAGTATCCTGCGTATAACGCAACAATTATTATATAGCATGTTGTTTCCTAGCTAAGATTTAGCAAAAGTAGACATATTGATCTAATAAGAAACACAGGCGCAGATATACTGTACAGATGGTGCCTTGTCACCGACCATACCGCTAAGTGTGCCTACTTCAGGAGCTGAATTGATGAAATGATAATGCTTCTTTTTTTGTAAGCACGTTTTTCTATTGGAGAACCAGCTTTGCTAATGGTATACGTCTGAGCGTAGTGATTTGTTGAAATACTCTCTTGGCCAAATTATTAGCGTGAGGCTTTCTTACGAACACGGGCCCAGGTGTATAACGTTAACATCGGTTCGGTCGAGTAGCGACCAATGTGGGGGTTTGAGCTTAGGAAGTAATTATTGCTTGCGCGTGACGTCACGGACACATGTTCTTCACGTACTAGTACTCCATTATGGCGGCTTTGATCACGTCGAGCTAGCATAATCGCGTGGCTGTTAACCATGGTTTAATGCGATAACTACGTTGCTGGAACGTTGTTCGCTTCTTTTCACGTATAATGAAAGAATGTGCATGCGATGCAGTGGTAACATGAGCGGGGCATCTCCAACCTCGTGTCCTACTATATGTTAGTTCTTCAACGTCGTAGTTTCAGTGATGTCAATGCAAGCCATCTGTGAATATCGGAACAACCGCCACATTTCCTCTTTTCCCCTTGTTCTTTCTATGGCGGTGCCCATCTCCTCACGAAAACAGACAACAGTTTGGCTATCCTAAAGGCTCGCTTTTAACAGTTGAACACGTTAGGGATATTTACTCGAACACACGCACGCATGCACTGACGCACACACGCACATGCACATTAGGGGGTTTTAGAATAGCGCACCGCGAGCCCTTGCGGTGCGGTCTCTGCCACTGCGCATGCGTCGTAACGCGAGCCGCCGTCCGCATTTGCCCCTCCCCTCCCCCCGCAGAAAATCCGAAATAGTGGGTGGCGTGTGCGGACCGCCTGCGGCCCACGAAGTGCTCTGTGTAGCTTCCGTGCATTTGGGTTCGTGGTTGGGGTGAAAGTCCCTGGACTTTTCCCTAGGGGGAGCAAACGCTATTCTCAAACTCATGTGGTGCCCACAACTAAAGCAACGTCCGAGACACGTGCAAACGTTATTGTAAAACTCCCTAATAACACCTTCCCTATCACAAGCCTGCGTTCACTTTTCGGTGTCGACCAAAACTGTACCACAAGGAAAGCCAAAGTGCAGGTGCTCAGCGGCTCCTATATTTATTTGTATGTATGCCTCAAAGTTTCTCTCACAAACAAAGACACCGACGCCACGGATACCGGAATATCTGTGGAACGAGCTGTTCAACGTAATGGCGTTAAAATAGTAAGGAAAAAAAAGGCGGACGTATACTTACCGAGAAAGCTGTCGTCGTCCGATGAAGGGGACTCGGACGTGTTGAGCCGCGTTCTCACATTGTTCAGGTCCTGCATAAATACCTGGCCTGCCCCACGGAAAGTAGCAGGCCAGGCCGCCGAATGTATCGTCATGCTCGAAATTTTTTCACACACTCAGTGTACAAGCACCACTTGACAGAAGTTCCCAGAGCATATACTCTATGTGTTCTATTTGACGCTAGATACACTGTTAGTTGTCTGTATGCCACCTACGTATGCAATATATAGCTTGGCTTTTCGTATCTTCAATAGTTTTGCTTGTTTTACACCAAACTAAGTCCGTGAAACAGCCATTGTAACATTTCTGCTCTTCAATCGTATTTACTCTTGAGCGATGACGTATTGATTTCATGCAAACCCTTCTCAACTGCTCTTTTCAGTTTACGTTCAGGGTTCTAACGTCTGTAGAAGATACATGTGGATGTATTAGTGCGAGTGATCATGTTCCTCTGGAGCCATAGTTTTTAAGGAAAGTGGATGATGTATGAAATTGATATGAATGTGCAAGATAAGTATAGGTTCGCACCACATGAACTGCTGGACGACAGTTCCTCATAGAATTTCTTTCTTTATTCAAGAACACGCGAAACAGTGGTGATCGACAGTTGATATATGTGTGGTTTTGTTTATCTTGTTGTTTTCTTTTTATTTTTATTTGGCTATACCCAAGTTAATTTATGCCATTCCCCACGCTTCAGGTCTATCAGCTATTTCATAATATGTTTTGCTCTGACCAAACGGCATCACGTACCTTGCCAGTACCAGCTTCCAGGCGCTCCAATGTACAAGCGATTCTTATCCTGCGAAACATTAAAAATTAATGTTAAAAAATAATTTTTCACAGTCACTGCTTAAACGACTTTTTTTACAGGTGCATTTTTGTATAAACCCCACACTGTTTCTACAAACTGCTTTTTTAACGCTATTTTGTAAACTCATTCAAATAAATTTAATTAAGAACGTTGACAATTATTGAGCCCCTATGTTAAATAATTCTTTGCTCCAGTATAGCATGTATCCAATATAGCTCTAAAGTTGAACCAAAACCACCATTTTGTACCGCTTTTTCAACACCTTTTTCTCAATATTCTGCAGTCCGGAAGTACATGCTCTACCTGAAGTGCTTGTAACAGAAACAAGGATGTCAGTAACTGCTGGTTCCACTAAAAGCCATAAAGTGGGTGTAGGAGTGAGGGAGTGAGTTGGTCAGTGAATAAATTAGGTAGTCAGTCAGTTAGTTAGGTTAATTTGTTTTGTAGTTAGTTATTTAGTTATTTGTTTAGTTAGTTCATTAGTTAGTTATTTATTATATCATAATTAATTAATCCGTTAGTTAGTATGCTAGTTAGTTAGTTAGTTAGTTAGTTAGTTAGTTAGTTAGTTAGTTAGTTAGTTAGTTAGTTAGTTAGTTAGTTAGTTAGTTAGTTAGTTAGTTAGTTAGTTAGTTAGTCGGTCGGTCGGTCGGTCGGTCGGTCGGTCGGTCGGTCGGTCGGTCGGTCGGTCGGTCGGTCGGTCGGTCGGTCGGTTAGTTAGTTAGTTAGGGAAAAAAGCAAAGCCTTCACCTTTGAGATAGCTGCAGAGAAGCCGGCTTGACAGGATCCCTGCCTGTGGTAACCCCAGGCGGCTGCAATGATGGTACGGCTCGGTTAGCACCTGATATGGCACCTCTTATGTCGTCTAATGACACGTGAGTAATAACTCACACGTCTTGCAGGGCGAGAATTCCGTGATGTTGCTGAAGAAGCTGTGCGACACGAAGCATGTGCCCACGGGCTCACGCCTCCTGTGATTGATTGAGAAGTACACATAACGAGGGGCGCAGGCCTGCAACAGAAAAAGCAGCGCGTTGCTCCACATTATGCGTGGCGAGTGTGAATCAGAACTACATTCTTTCGATTATTAGTTAGGAAACAAAAAATAAATAGTCTATTTAGAGTGATACGTGCTCTCTTAAGGGAGATTCTCAATTTATGAAATATATTCACACTTTTGCTTTCGGGACACAGCGCCCCGCCGCGGTGGTCTAGTGGCTAAGGTACTCGGCTACTGACCCGCAGGTCACGGGTTTGAATCGCGGCTGCGGCGGCTGCATTTCTGATGGAGGCGGAAATGTTGTAGGCCCGTGTGCTCAGATTTGGGTGCACGTTAAAGAACCCCAGGTGGTGGAAATTTCCGGAGCCCTCCACTACGGCGTCTCTCATAATCATATGGTGGTTTTGGGACGTTGAACCCCACATATCAGTCAAATAAATCGGGACACAGCCCTGCTCAATGATTTTTTTATATATTCAAGCCTCCGTCTACTATTGAGCATACACTTTGGTTGCATGACTGATATAGTAATATAAGTTGGGGCTGCATGGACAGGCGAGGACATAGCAAGAAAACAAGCAAATACAGAAAATGAACAAAGAAGCAGCCGAAACGGGAAGATCAAAGATTTTCAACCAAACTTTGATCGAGAAAGCATCAGTCATTTATACATATTTTGCAAAAGGAAAGCAGGATTAATTAGCGTGCGCTCTTTGGAACTACAGTTGCAGGTGTTGCTGTTCTTGCCCTCACATATTAGAAGAAATCAGGGTTGTAATGCTCGAAATAACGTTCGCGTTCATATTTAATACGTAAAAGCGCGGCTTTGAAGCATTCGATGCCGCGCGACCCTGTCACAACAACGGAGTCGTTTCGTAACGTAATGACATATTTTACTTAATTATAGTGCTTACTTAACATCTATTGTTGTACTGCTATAGCGCAGATGAGTTTGAGCAACAAGAAAAAGAGGTGGCAGTGAAGAAGAGAAGACAGGCAATAGGATGAGCTCTAAATGCATTATAGTGAAGCAGCTTGCCCAATCTACAGTACTTGTCAATTGACATGTACTGTTACCACCTCAATCGTATTCTGGTGACAATATGGATGGATCGCCGCAAGTATCACTAAGAAAAAAATAATGGCACAGGTAAGGAATCGTGACGTCATCTCATCTCTGATGTATAGGAATAGTCATCACAAACTTGATGGTGACACTGAAGCGCTAAAAATAGATCTAAAGCTAACATAACGTGCATTGCTAACTCCCGTCTTGGTTTCACGAGCATACTTCGTTGGTTTGCCATCTATCTACACCCCTCTTTCTGTCTCTGCCTCTTTCACTCTTTTCTATTTACTGTTACTCCGGCGTGGAGCAGCAGTATCATGCGTGTCCTACTGAGTAGGACACGCATGATACTGCTGCTCAAACGAGCAAAACAAACGAGGCGTGGAGCAGCAGTATCGGTCTGTAAAGATACGCACTTTGGCTGTAGAGATACAGCTATCATCATTTCTCCTTCCTACCGCTTCTACAAGTATCCCAGTATACCGAATGTCTGTGACTCATCTTAATTAGCAATGGGGTAGCGATGGATTATGGGGTGAGATGGGGGTCAATTTTTCATGAAATATGCATGAGTGTTTATACAGGCGCACACAGAAACCCACGCACGAACATACAGAACGTATAGTTCACGCTCCCCCTACCTCCCGAAAAATTTTCCGGCTATGGTACTGCTCTAATTAGACACGCCACGATACTACAATGAAGTCCGCAAGCAGCACATGCGACTCGTGTATTGCAGAGTGGAGAAGCGCGACAACCACTTACCACAATGAGGCCATCATCGCCCGAGCTGTGCAACGTGGCGCCGAACCACTGGCCGGACTTGTCGTCCGTGCGCTCCCGACGCCGGTCAACTAACACTTCGGTGGGCCCTGCGCGAGATCGGAAAACAAGAAAAAGAAAATTAACTCCGTAGGTATAAAAGGGGGTCCCATCACGCTCAACCTCTTTTGCTGTCTAGTGCCTAAGGTACTCGGCTGCTGACCCGCAGGTCGCGGGTTCGATTCTCGGCTGCGGCGGCTGCATTTCCGATGGAGGCGGAAATGTTGTAGGCCCGTGTACTCAGATTTGGGTGCACGTTAAAGAACCCCAGGTGGTCAAAATTTCCGGAGCCCTCCACTACGGCGTCTTTCATAATCAAATGATGGTTTTGGGGCGTTAAACCTCACAAATCAATCAACCTCTTTTGCTGATTGCTCGGTAGGCACCAATCGCTCACATAACGTACGCGAACTCCAAGAAAAAAATGAATATTTTCTACGCCTTGATGATGGCGTATTCGTAATATTCAATACTTTTGTTTTAGCGACTAGAAAGTTTATTTTTTCTGTCACTCGTGTGATGACTCCCACGCAAGTGTGACGTTCTAGGGCGAAAGTTGTACACTCCCATCTTTGCCTCCCCTTGCCACCTCCACCTCATTCATCCTTCCAGTTACCCTTGTCCTATTTGTAAATTGTGCACCCTTTTCCACAGCAGACCTAAATCACATCATGTGGAAGTGCCCTAAGCACCCCCTCTGCCCGATTTCCTGGAGCAGTTAATGTCGGCTGAGGAACAGTAGGAAGCTGCCTCGCGTAGCTCGAGGCCCGAAATATAAGAGGCCATCTTGGAGCGGACTCAGAGGGTCGAGGAGGAGTGCTTCAAGTAGTTCTTCCCTCCACTTTCTATGCAATTCCCTTTTTCTCTTTAAAGGGGGCTGAATAAAGTTGCTCACATTCATCCATTCGTTCATTCGTTCACCTTTCCTGAAATGAGTTACGATCTCCCTATCTCAGCAATAGGATTGAACCGAACGCGATGGGGCATAATTAAAGGCGATCTGATGCGATACAGAGCTATCGGCGACGTCGGCTGTTATCAACTGTTACTGTTAAAGCTGTTACTGTAGGCAACGTGAAGGTGCGAGAGAAAGCTGGACGGCAGTCCAGTAAGCTACCGTTCTGGTCGAATGGCACGGGCTGGCAACTGCCGGAAGCCTCGGTGCTGCAGCGGAACACAGCGCCGCCTCGATCCACGTTGGGCTGCGGCGTCTGAGCGTCCGGGGCACCAACCAGAAGCCTGTGGTATGAGAGCACAGAAAGCGCGTGGCATGTAATTCGCTCATTACATGAACAACAACAACAATGAAAAATAAATTTAGCCTTCCGTGTATTGCGCAAAAGTACAATGCGGTGGTATTCTAAAGATCACATAGCCCGAGTCGTTCTAAAATACTTCTTCACTGTTCGCACCATGGTGTTTATTGCTCGAATCGTCCAATTCCGATGTTCTTTGTGTCTTAGTATATTGCTGAGGCCTTCTAATACAAGACGGTAAACATGTGAAAACGGACGCAAGGGCACAAACGCTGACCGACAAGTGAAAAAGCTCTCAGCGGCGTTGTAGAAAGTAGATACGAATAATGCCCATTCATCTTCGTATTCTCAGGCAACAGCCCTGCTCCTATTGATCCGGAACACTTGGGGGGCCTGCGTAACAGATAACGGTAAAGCATTTGATTTCTTCCTGGTGCAAGTCAATCAACGGCTGGCTCACGCATGCGCTATACCACTGTGTCATCGATATCTGCAGGCATTAGCGTAGACATGATTCTGCATCCTTGAGCCAGTATAAAACTGCCCACTCGTCTTATTTTGGCGTGTCTTCAGCCTTTCGACAGTGTGTAGATAGATTAGACGGTGAGCCTTCGGTTAGCGACCTCTTTAGTTTCGTGAATCTCTAGTTAACGCAGTGGTCCGTATGACTGCCCCACGTATGACGGAAAAAACGCTTGTGTTGGTTGACGCCCGGCGTATTGACGGCAGCGCATGCGCAATTAACCGGCATAATGAAGTAATCAAATGCCTGCTCTGTTATCTGTCACGCAGACCCCAATGCGTGCTCCGTGAATTGATAGGTGTCGCCTTCTGCTTGAACACGCTCAAATAGGTGTTTGTGTGGGCTTGCTTTCCGCTGGCGTGCACCATTCAAATTGTCAGTCGGCGTTTCTGGTTCTCTGATCTCTTTTTTATGCCCTTGCGTCCCCGCCCACCGTCTCACATCATGAATCCTTTCGAACTTGCTAAGCTTTCCATCGTTCAAACGTTGAGCCCGTGCGAGACGAAGTAGGAATGCGATAAAGGGTGTGTATACTGCAAGGATTGGTGGGGCAACTGCACTGCCATTTCAAGCACCGCAACTTCACTGTCGCTGCCACTTCACTGACGCCTACTGAGCCGGGGCTGATCGACTAAGAAGGCCATGACTAGGTGGAAAAGGTAGGAACGTGTGTTTTGCAGTATTTGCGACGGGCTGCTTTTTGAACATAATAAATGACTTTACATCCGGCGTAGCATGTCTGTTTTCTTTTTCGCGCTGCAAGTTGCTGCTACAACAGAGTATACCCACGAAAGTCTCTGGGGAAAGGTAAGTGGGTAGGGGGTGTTGGTTAACCATACTTTTTTATGTCTGTGCAAAATGTATGTATACACATGTGAAATAGAAAATTTTCAGAGGGCGGGGAGGGTGTATGAACCCTACCCCTGACTCGTGACTACGCCAATACGCTTATATAAAACATCTGTTGGGCCTTGTTCGTACACAGAATTTCAGATGAAAACTTCAGCACACACCAAAACGGATGGCAAAAAGCAATAGAGGTCAGTGCAGGCGCTGACGGCTTCGTTCTTCTCGCGACAACGCATATAAACGCCGCAACCACGGACCTTATGTGCACACTCGAAACAAGACGTATTGCACAGGTAAAAAAGAAGATTTTCAACAAAAGTGTACACGCACGAATTCATATTCAGAAAGGTACAATGGTATAGACGCATCACTAATACAACCAGCTCCATTTACATTATGTGGAAAGCTTCGACGTTCAGTCGGGAGAGACGCTCTGGGTGCCGACCAGTGCGGACGCGCGAAGATCGGCTCCTGCTTTCAAGAATGCTTCCCTGTGGTATTCACAAATTTGTCGCCGAGTTTTCAGTCCCATCGTGTGCCTAAATTCTCAAGAAATCAGCAGATACCACCTTTGTGCTGGTGAGTGGACTTTTAAACCGTTTTTGGGGCATTTTTACACGGCAACGTCACCGGCCGATTTAAGCCTAACAACCAAGGAGGCGATTGTCGCCGATGCGCCGACCCGGCGCCAACGTGACTCAACGCTCTGCGCGTTCCAGAACCTGCAACTGAGAATGGAATACCAAGTAGATGGAGAGGACATCTCTCCAGAGGATTGCACGGAAGACATGGGTTGGAAGGAAGCCGAAACGAGACGCTCAAGGAATAAGCAAGCCGCGGTTAGGCTTCCTGCTGCCAAGGGTTCGACCAAGGCTGGCGTTGCACGAGACGCTCGAACCAGCCGTAGTTGGTATGATACCAAGCATACAATTGTGCGAGCTGGACGCATGCCGCCACTACCCAAGGACTTCAGCAAAATTGTGCTACGACCACGTGGAGGATTAAATATCTCGAGAATTGGCACTGGAGCCGTGGCCGACGCGATAGTACTGGCGGCTGGCATCAAAGACGAGGAGGCCATGCAGGGCATCATCTGTTCTAACTTGCAGCAGAACATTATAGTAGCAAGCACTCCGGGCCAAGACAGAGCTTCAAGATACCTCAAGGTCTGGCAAATTGACATTGGAGGCAAAGTTTTTGAGCTTAGCGTGTACGCCACGGCACCCCACGATACTTGTAAAGGAGTGATTCGCGGGATCCCCGTAAGCGATACTCAGGACATTTTGACCCGAAAGATTGTGAACGCGAACAACCCGCTCGCGCTGCAGGCGAAGAGAATCAAGGACACCGGGACAATCATCATAGCGTTCGAATGACACAAGGTGTCCAGATTCGTGAAATATGGACCTTCACTTTTGCAGTGCTCCCTTCACAACAAGAACATCGATATTTGTTACGTCTGTGGAAAGCTGGGACATCGGTTTGACGTCTGTCCGAACCCAGCTGAAACCATCTGCAGAGGCTGCGAGATCAAGAACCCAGATAGACTGCACCAGTGGAATCCGAGATGCAGGCTGTGTGACGGTCACCATCTCACGGCAGACAAAGAGTGCAAGAACAGGTTCTTAGTGCCATACGTCGTCAGACGCAGACGTTGGGAAAGATAGCGAGTAGCCGCAGAAGCCCGGGACGCATCAATCACATCGAGTCCAGACATCAACGACAAGCAGCTTATTCCAGCCTACGGGACCCAGAGCATCCAGACTACTCAAGAACAGGAAAGGCGGCCCCACTTTAGGGGGAGGTCGCGTTCCAGAAGAGGTTCTAGACCCAAGGCCCGCTCCCAGTCACGAGGGCGCTCGAGTTCTCAAGGTCACAATCACGGTCGGGATCAGCCTGGGTGGCACCCGAATGACCAGCTGCCTGGCGTTCAGTTCGAGATCATGGCTTCACACCCAGGGAGGACGCCTGCAGTTGCATCGAAAGGCAGCTGGGCTGAGCGAGTGCGCAACGGCGCGGCAGAGGTGATGACAGGTAAGCTGCCAGAGCATGATAGAATTGCACAGCTAGAGCAAGAAAACGCGAGACTTTCAAAATCGAATGAGAGGCTATCAGCTGAGTTGAAGGAAATAAAAATTCTTCTCACTAAGCTAACCAGCGCGCAGTCTTCACAGCCAATGCCTCAGCCAGTCGATGTCGCTGTGGCTGAAAACGTGGGGGACTCGAGAACCACAAAAAAGAGGGCAGTCATGGCAGAACACGTGGAAGCCAACCAAACGAGCATGTCAGATATGAAAGAGGTCTTTGACATGATCAGCAAAGTAGTAGCCAATCTTAGCAAGCAGATTAGTAGGCTACAATCAAGCGTGTCGGCACTGGAAGAGCATATGACTTTGCGCATTACAAAGGTCGAAGCATATCTGCACAATACAGCAAGGCCTCCTCATATCAGGAGCAGCCAAGAAAAGCCTCATATTGTATTATTACAAGAAACCCTTTCACCGCAAGCAACGTTGCCTGGATTCCGGCCTGTAATAGGGGATACTGAAGGGAGGGGAGTCTGCACCTTCGTATACAACAAACTAACGCACGTAACCCACGACCTCAAGATAGAAGCAGGCCGGTTGGAACACGTCATGGTAGAGATCGTGCCAGGTACCAGCAACCGTCAGAGCATTTTCATTCTTAATATATGCAGTAGTCCAAGGGAACAAAAACAAGGGTTCGTGACGGTTCTAAAGAAAGCTGTTAATATCGCCGGGGAATGTCCACTCGTTATAGCAGGTGATTTCAACGCCCCTCAACATACATGGGGTTACAAGTACAACACTGGGAAAGGAAATCGACTTTGGCAAAGTGCCAGTGAACTTGATCTCACCCTAATCATAGACCCCAGCCTACCAACAAGGCTTGGTACATCTTGCTGCAGGGATTCCAGCCCCGGACCTTACATTTGTAAGGAACATCAAGAAGGCCCAGTGGATGAACCTTGCTGTAGACCTAGTGAGTGACCACTGCATTCTCGCTACTACCTTCTCCGTGGAGCGTAAAAAGCAGAGAGAATTCCACTTCACAGACTGGGATAAGTTCAGGAAGATAAGGATTGAAAGGGAACAAGAAGGCCACAGACAAGGCTTGGAGCAGTGGGTCAAACAGATTAAAAATGACATCAAATCCGTCTCCTCCACTACTACCACAGATTTTCCGGTTGAAAGAATGAATAGCCGGCTCGCTCATCTTCTTGAGGCAAAGCAAGCACTACTGAACCATTGGAAGGGTCAGCGCCTGAACCGAAGACTGAGGAAGAAGATAGCTGAGGTAAACAAATCAGTCGAGGAACATTGTCGCGCACTATCCAGGCAGCAATGGGAAGAAATCTGCAACTCCGTCTATGGTCAGATGCGCAATGCCATGACATGGAATATGTTAAAGCATCTCCTCAACGAAAACACCACCAAAACAAATCAAAAGCATGTTATCGCTCGAATTTTGCACAAAGAGATAGGGCACACTACAGAACAGCAAGTTGTGCAGCGGCTCGTGCATTAGTACCTCCCAATCAAAAGAGGATTGGCACCACCAAGTAGACAGTACCAGGGCAGGCCCAATCC